CGCAAACATAGCTGGCAATGACAGTCAGAAAAGACTACCTTATAAAATGTTATTTCAAGTGTCATAAATGAGTTATAAGTAATGTCAGTAAGGTAATGATAGCCATACTAAGGTAATGATAGCCATACCATGTGGTACATGTGGTTCATATTTTCATAATTTTTGGAAGTTGAGGTTTTGCACAAAACCTATTTTGTTCTTATTTGTATTCAGGGAACCTAAGAAAGTAAGATTCCAATATCTCCCTTAAGCATACAGGCTTAGCAAGTCTAATTTGATGAATGAGTATTCTTGAAAAATATTAACCTTGTTTTATTAAATGGAGACTCCAGTTACCTCAGTTGAAATTTTAAATAAAGTTATATGATTGAACATATTCAAGTTTATGTATCATATGATATTCATATGTTCAACATTTAATAGTCTGATGTCCCACCTTCCAACAGATTAGCAAGAATCAAGAGAATGTTTTTTCTGATTAAAGATGAAAGAGCTTAAGTGTAACAGCAGATCAGTCGCATGTGTTAATGAAGATTAGATAAGAGTGCATACATTTGCAAGATAAATTCATTAAGAAATGAAACCATTTGAAAAACAGAAGACAGAAAGGATGAATTGTGTCTAGTAGGGGTACTCAGGCTCATTTTTAAATACTACAGTGGAACTTTTAAGCCTTTAATAAGGCTCTGAATATAGAAATAAATCTACAGTGTTGATGCTACTCACAACTTATGTCTCCAAAAGTAGCTGTCTGGTATGGTATTCAATGGGAGTTTCATTATGAAATGAATACAAGGCACTTATGAAAGTGTAAAATTCAGAGAATGCTATTGTGATTAGGTAGTTTGAATTTGATTGACTGTAATTCTGATTAGGTAAGACTAGATCAACGTCTAACTTGTAAAGTGTAGATGACACTCTCTATCAAAGGAGCGAAATAAAACTATTAGAAATGGTATGCACCATCAGTTCCATGAAGTGGAAAGTGAAAGATTCCCAAGTGATACACTCACTGAAATCAATGACCCTGTTGACCTGAATCTCATTTTCAAGGGAAACTAGGAATCACTTTATTGCAGAACCACAAGTATAATTGATCCCACCACCCCAAGGGAACATTGGGAAAATTACCCAAAGAGCTTTCCAATGACCAAATAAGGCATTGTAAATTATCTCTCAGTGCCACATGCAATGGACATCTGATCGATACAGAACAGGGTCTAGTTAACAATATATTTCATTGAGACAAAGATGTTCTGAAGAAGATCACTTGCCCCCATAGGATATGTCTTTGGTGATTGAATTAAAGTAAGACAATAGCTCGGAGTGATTGAATTAAGCAAAGACAATAATATGGTCATAATTTAGGCCATGACATGAAGGCAATTTAGTGTCCTTTGAAACTGTGTGATCTATTTTCTGCTTTATGATAAGATGGGTTGATTTATACATCCTACTGTTCTTGAGGCGGATGATTTTGCCTTTTTCAGCAACAATAAAAACTGACATTTGCAAGTAATTTCTCAAGAAGTAAAGTGCAGCCAATGTGATTTGACATTTGGTTTCCATCATAAACATTTCAGTTTTATTATAAATATGTACATATATGTCATAACACAATATGAAGCAGGACTTCTATAGATAGAGTGAAGCTGGGCTGATAAATGAAATGGCCTGTATTCGATGCAAGGGAAGTAAAACAATTCATGAGAAAGTAATCAATGGGAAGTATCAATAATGGTACTAACATAATTATAATATCCATAATTTCATGGCAACACCTGTATCATAAATCTGTTATTAAATTGTGTGAAAGTGGCATATACCGCCTAATTTCTAAATATAATGAGAATGACTGACAAGACATCGACTGGAATCTCCATAAAGTTGTCTCATTTGAAGCGATTAATTCAAACAAAATGCAACATGAACACGATATATTCCAAGCTTAAATATAAAAGAATATCTAATCATCATATCATTTACAAATATCTATAATAATTTTGTTAATATACCATTTGGCAGGAGATGAACTTTCTAATATGCCATGTAAGCATGGCTCCATAACTTGCTTCTATATGTTAGCAATATATAATTAAATATATTTAAGCAGATTCAATTCTACGGAAATGGTTTTTGGGATGCAAATTGAATTACTGAATTATCTGGAGCTTGTTCCCGTTAAATTGTATCATTCATCAGTGTTCTAATCCAAGGTCTGCTGGCTGTATAATCAAATTTAAAAAATCAAGATTACTCTGAAAGTCGATAAGACGAGGCTTAGGGGATGTGGGTGCATAGTGTGATTTTAGACTTTTTATTTTGCTTCATTCTGAGATTCTGAGGAATTCTGAGAAATGTATAAACAAACCCTCTCACTATTATGTATATTCCGCATAATAAACATCAATCATATATCTATGTATCTTTGTATCTGGAATAAAATGAGACTGAATTTCATTATGTGTATTAGAACAAATAATTAATGCACTGTCTCTAAAAAATGCCAAAATGGTTCCCTTATGTTTTTCTTTACAGAAATCCTTTTTATTTAAGTGTAAGATAATCATGGCAATAACTTTAAAGTGAAAAAAACATTTAAAATATATTATAATTGTATTAGTGATATTCAGAATGCTTGTCTCCGAACACCAAGGTATTATTCAACAAAGGTTAAGCAATATTTATCACAGTGAACTTTTTCATTACAGATAATCTTTAAAAATGAGGGCACAAATATCTGATATTGTACAAATACAATAAAAACCAGGACAATTAAATGCTCACAATACATTCTTCTTCCATTCTTTCCTAAAAAAATATGGGTCATTACTTTCAACACAAATGCATCAATACTTTTGGATGTTTGTTCCTCAGTTGAAAAATCAATTGGATTTTGTATTTAGGCTAATTATGCATATGGTTACGTCATGAAAGGTTTGCCTTTATCAAAATATAAGAAGGATACAAACATAAGGCACAGTAAAAACACAAATAGAGTTTTGATAATTTGAACTTGTTAACTGTTCTACTAGAACTGTAAACTGTTAATGGTTATACTAGATTACTTTGTCACTAATATCTTACCAGTGTGTCTTTTATAATTATCCCAAATTACCAAGTCCCTTTAGACAGGGTTAAATAAATGTAAATGGGTGCAAATTTGGCACTGTCCAGCCATCTAGGTATGAAAAAATGAAATAGCAAAAATGAGTCAAGTTATAGTCCATAAGTCAAAACAGTTTTAAACGTGCAATATATTGTTACTGCCAGATATAATATTATAATAAGGGCTGTTATTATCTTTTGTATTTCATGCTACTTTTTCATCATTTGAAATTACCCATCAATGACTTTAAATATAGGTTATAAAAATAACATATGCAAGATAGGAAATTTCCATTTTAAACTATTTGAGAATATTTGAAAAAATATATATAATTGTACTATGCAGGAAATGGTTTTAAATATTTACCAGTTTTATCAGTGCATCTATTGAGTTTTTATGTTCTTCAGATGTTGCCCTTGGGCTTTCTGAGGATGGATCTTTGTAACATCTAAATTTATTGACTCTGATACACCCACACAAACCAGAGATACATCTAGTGCATTACAATTAGGGAAGCATCTTCTCACCACCTTAATTATTCCAATGATCAGATAAATCACACATTGGTTATCATCCTTTTGTATCAAATCAATCTTTCCTGACATTCTTCACGTAATTGTGTCATAATTAGAGAATAATGACAAAGAACAATTTACAGTGATTCATTCAAGTGTTCTTTTAAATTAAAATCATACTTTTATGCCCTTATTGCCTCTGTTTTGTGACAGATTCAAGCTCTCTAGTACACATATGTGTTTTAATCAATATTGATCACCGAAGAGAAATTGATTGGGATGATTCCTTAAGGTACAATCATATAGAGAAATAGATCTTACCAATAAGTATATTTGTATATGTAGTTTAAGATTCAATCAATAGCCTATAGTTAATACAGTCCTTTAGAGATTTCAAACTGAATTATTTAGTAATTGAGCAGTAGAGACATCATATCAGAATTCATCAAGGAGTAGAGATGGTGCCCAGTATTGAATAATAAAATAATAATACCTCTCTTGGGCATATCAAATGAATATAATGAACAGTCGTAGCTTCAAAATGCATTTGCATCAATCTCAGACCTAATGCTTTTTGTATGTTTGAGGTTTTCTAATTTAGTTAAGATTATTCCATTTCACTTAAGAATGATCTGGAAATGTAATCATGCTGCAATATTTATCATGTACATAACATCTTTTCATGATATGTTGTTTTGTGCCCTTGTACATATTATGTATACTATTATTTGCATGTGAAGTAAAACTAATGATTTGTATTATGATATTTTTTGTTCTCATTTCACTTATTTTTAGTTTGTTTAGTTGATGCTCTAAGTGTTTCCCATTGTTTTGTTTTTCCTCAGCTGGCGGTGATATTCTTGCCAAATATGTGTTTGAGTTATGTAATGTCTGATATCTGTATGTCTATCTAGTTTGCTCAACCCGCATCCACTCTGCTGACCCTATATAAAAATAAAATATACAAATAAAATATACATTCATATTTTATCCAAAATTCAAATTATTATAAATCATTATATAGAAAATCAGGGAACTGAAAGAAGGTGAAATAATTTTTTAGTGAGTTGGGCAAACTGAATAAGATTGTATTTGTGACTGTATAATTTAAATGCTCACCTTGATATTTTATAGCAGGACAAAATAACAAGAAGTCCCGGCTCCCGTTGTTCAAGGATCGCCATCCGCGCAACGTCTCTGTTTATTTGGGTGAACGAGCAAAATTATCGTGTCACATCGAACGTCTAGGAACCAGATCTGTAAGTGCGGGATTAGACGTGCGTGCTGCATTTAACGCTTTTTATTTCAAATCTTTCTTTTCCAAAATTTCTTCTGCATGCATCTTTATTTTTACTTTATGACTTTCATTTTTACAGCCTATGCATTAAAGCGAAAAGCTCCACCATCCCCACGTTTCAGGAATTCCACTTCAACTAACGTCACCGTTTCTCCCGGTAAAACAACGATTCTTCGCTGTGGCATAGATAATCTCGGATCTCGAACAGTAAGTAATGAATGCTCCCACAAAAAATGAATGCTCCCACATAACATTGAAATTCTCACAGCTTTCATATACTATAGATGAATGTATGTTTATTTATAGAGCATGATCGTAGTTTTCTAGGCCTCAAGCCCTATAGAATATTCTAAATTATCTTGAGTCACATAAAAATCTAGATCTATTTTCCGTCACAAAATATTTCTAAAATATCACAGTAAAAAGACAGTGACAATGAAATAGGAACTCAGAATACATGCATTTTGCTTAAATGTGTGCATCGTGAATTATTTCATTTTGAGAAAAACAGTGAATAACAGTGTTCTGCATGACGCAGTATGAAAGTTGTGAGAATATATGTCTCCCAAATGTAAATAATACTCTAACTAACACAAAATAGGTAATACTAGTATATTAATGTAATCATAAAAAATTGCTATAGAAAAATTGCTCACAGACATTTCTAATGAAGCCTGCCATCTTTATCTTGTTGCTAATATTCAAAATGATTCTTTGAATTTTGTTTGATACCTACAACCTATGACATCATGAATATATCTTAACTTTTATAATGTAGCAAAAGGTGACAGGGTTATTGGAAAAGTTTATTGTTAACAGTCTAATGTACAGTCAGATAGATGGATAGTTGCCTCTAATTAAGGCCAACACTCCATTCACTCATGTGGGCCAAGTACCTACAATTTAAGGCTGTGCACTAGACTGACACATCATGGTTGCATCTTGGCATTATTATGTAGGCAAGTTTACTGAAATTAAGTTTTGAAATGTTATAAGCAAAGTAAATTATATTCATATTTGCAATTGTCTGTAAAGTAGCACTTAATGTTATAATGTGATGTCTGCCATATTATGCACATTGCACTTTATATATTTTATAATGTTTTGTGTTACTGTTAGAGTATTGTGTTACCTGAGTGCTAAAGTAACGGTTGCCATGGCAATTTCTCTCAAAAATTCAGAGAAATGTGTATGAACTGTGACCAAAACATGTCAGATGCACTAGAGGCATTGTGTCCATGATGCATAACAACCGCCATCCAACAGTTGAATAAATGGTATAAATATTGGAAAAATTAACTGAGTATTTTTTCAATACTTATATCATTCATGTTCAACATAGCAACACATATTCTCTTAGCAACTAGACCATCCAAACATATTAACCGCATTATTGAGGATGATCGTGGTCAATGTTACATTGGTACTCAGAGGGAGTCATTCCCATGTAAATTCAATGTCAACTACCCGCAGTTGCCCCTATGTTGAATCCAATAGTGGTGGCCAGTCCTCCGTGTCTCACTAACCCAAACTAACCCAGAACACCATCCCAACTAGAGGAGACTAGCACTAACCCATGCTTAATTATTTGTGACAGTGTTCCAAAAACTGCATCGTCATTCCCCATTGTATAACATAAACATGGATCATGGTGGAAAATTTTGCAACATTTCATATACAACTTTGCTTTCATCTGAACATTCAAAATATCAACTGGCATATTCTCCTTTGCGATCATGTCATATTAAAAATTGCATGTCATATACAAGAATTGCATGTTAAGCATGTTCATCTTCTATTTCTACAAAAATAGTTTAAAAATCAATATATAGTTAGTGATTTCTCTTTGAGATATTTAAAGCATTTTGTAGGCTACAACTGGAAACTAACAGAATGTTGTACTTTTCAATTTGCATATGTTACAATTCATCTATTCAAGGGTTTTTTAAAAGTTTTTTAGTTTTTTTTAATAAGTGAGCTACAGTATAAGAGCTTGTTTCCTTCAAATCATATATTTGTGCTTTCTATACAGCATGTTCTGCTTCTAAGTCTGTTGCATGTAGTAGAACGTAGATGCCATCAATTCTCGTGTGAGGATATCCAAACAGGTGTAAGATGTACTTGGTTCTGAAAATCCATTTCCATTCCAATCAAGTTTGGTTCTGGTTTTAAACTAAACAGAACAAGGAGTCAATTCCTCCCAACATTAAAAAGTTAGATATTCACAAATTATTTCTTATTTTCTAGAATTACTGAGTTTATGCAAAAGATGCAATTTACCGATTCTGATAATCATATCACTTTTCTGTTTCACCTGAAACATCTCAGAGCTGAGAAGAAATTAGGTGTCATGGCTTATCATGATGTTATTTGCCTAAAACTTGTGACTTCACAATATTTATAGAAATGGATCCCAGTCCTACCATAAGGAATAAATGATAATAGCAACAAGACAATTATACCAGTTGTACGTTTTTATTGAAATGGCCTGCAGAGAACTTTATTTTCAAAAAAATGAAGATAATAAAGAGTTAATTGACTAAGAAAGCACAGAGGGCAACATCTGCATAGAAATATTCCTATTGTTATAAAAATAACAACAAATATATGGGCCACATGGGGAGGTCTGTATATTTAAGACTTTGTAGACAATAAATAATTATTTCTAAATGTACAATCTTCCATGGAGAATATTATTTGGGAATTTAGGGCTTTCTGGGAACTATTTTAGAGTTGTAAAAAGTTAATAATAGATCTTGTTTGATCATTATTCGATGTGTCCGATCACACAAGTAATAACTCATACTGAACATCCCTTTTGTATAAGTGTAAATAGATCCATTAAGTAAAACAGCTAATAACCATGGCAACTGCAAGTTCTATCCAATGGGAGAAAGGTCTATTAAATGTGTCACATTTCAGGGGCATGTGAAATAAAAAATTTACCAAAAATAAAATATTATTTATTCATGAAATGTGACCAAACTAAACCTTATCTTCCGAACCTAAAGTCATGACTAATCCAGTCACAGGAGACATTAAAATTCATTAAAATAAAGCTTTTGTATGCTTGTAAATTCCACTGGCATGATTCGAATTAAGAAATGGTGATTCCATGGGAATTTAGATGCAGTATCGATAGCACCAGGGGAGTCCCAAAACCAATAAAAATTGATATCCATTGTTGATATAGGAGACCATGATAACCCCTTAACACTTTTTAACACAGAATTTGAGATTCATCAATCAATTTTAATACGCTTAATTAAAATTTAAGTCTTTGTTAATTGGTTTGGTCAGCATGGCTATTGATCCATGATTATGACGGATTGCTATACATTTTAAAACAGGAATATGGAATTTTAATACATTCAAAAACATGTCAATCCTCAAAAGAAAATTGATGACCAACTCTTTTGAAATATTGTTAATTGTGTAAGATTATAAAAAATCTGTGTAATGGTGTTGAGTAAATGGAAGATGACATTAGCATTTTTAAACATTTTTTATTCGTTTCAAAGTTTTTTTGTGAAAATGGAGATTATGACTGTCTAAGTGGTACCTCTCTCTTTTACTGTTCTGTATCTTTCTTAATTCGTATCAAACCCACTGTGTTAAGGACAGAATCACTTTCATTGTATCCTATAAATCCTTAATAATACCCTAAGCTGTAGGTGCAAAATAGAAATCTAAAAAACAGATGAAAACATGCTTAGTCAATAACGTTTAATGAAAATAAATATGTTTTATGATTTGATAAAGAAGGATTTACGGAACTATCATCGTCAGAGCTTAGACCAATCAAAACCATTTAACTCCGTTCATGCCATTCTATCTTAAAACTAGATTTTGAGATCATATTTTGTTAATTTATAATTGATTCTGTTAATGAAATTCATTCTCAGTTGTCATTTGTCTCAATTCGCTCATGTCTGACCCCCTCCTTTAAGAAAATTAGACAACGAACAATGATATTTTATATAGGTGATTTGGAGAAACATATATTCCATTACCTTCCCTTCACAATTGTTTACAGGCCCTTAAAATATTTCAACAACTCATTGAACTGATTAAATCATATCAAAATCAAATTAGATCTGTTTTATAAATATTATCATATTAGTTTTATGACATCACTATACACTCTAAGGAACTTCTGCATTTTGATTGAACAAAACCAAAGGTCTCAGTGAACCATAAATTAGATAACATTCTTAGTAAAATGTGTGTTTTTCAATCAATACAATCTTACCTGAAACCAATCATAAAACAGAAATATTCTCACATATTTTCGCTAAAATCTTCATCACCGTCTTCAATCTAATACAAACAGCTGTCAATAAAATTAAATTAAAATAAAAACAAACAAATGCAAGTGTCAAATATTTACAATTTTGATAAACCTTTTTAAAATCATGATGTGAGTCCTGGTCTAGATTACCTTATATGGTCATGTATTTACTTTACTAACAAAACAAATTAAATAAAAGAGAATTTTAAAAAGAAATCATTTTGATTCACAAACCTTTTACAATTATAATCCTGTGAATTCCTCAAAACACGAGAAAGCGATTTTTTCACAATATGAACTTTTTCAAAGGGAAAATAAATATTGTATCAATTAACCCCAGTGAAAAGAGGTGATAAAATGCATGTTGTGTGTGACAAGATTATCATAGCTTTGTAAATTCTTATGAAAAAATGAATCGAGAAATTGATGTCATTTGAGTACATTGAACTATTCTTATATACAAACTCAGATACTCAATTATTTGAAAAAACACATTAATTCCATACATCAATCATCACATTAAATACTTAACTATAACAATAAAGTGAATTATACAACTCAAAATGTTCATTTTAGGTAATCTAAGTATATTTACGGGGTGGTCCAAGATGTATGTATTGCACCGTTTCATCTGTTATACTTTGTATTTTTTGTGTCACCCTGTACGTATACTTCAGTAAGGTCCAAAGATGAACATTTTCAGAGCATTTGATTTGAAATCTTTTGGCAATTTAGGCCATCTTACACTACACTACACTACACTACACTAAAGGTAATAATGCTTAATTACTTTTTCGTAAAGTCAATAAACTAAAGTTATCATACAAAACCAAATCAAAGTATATTCAGTAAAAATAGAATAAACACTAAATACATGTACATGCATAAAGTCAGCCAGTCTAAAGTGATCAATAAAAATTTAGTTTTTTATAACATTCAGCAAGGAGTAGTATAGTGAACAAGCCATTATTTTATAACAAACTACATGTATTGTAATTAAATGCTTTATATATCCAAATGGCTATCAAGCTGTTAGAATATTGTATTAAATGTATGTAATATTACTGCTGAATAAAAAAAAAGAAAAAAGCAAGAGCCAAAGCAAGATGTTATTCTTAAGCAGACTGATTCAAATAAATCACACATGCCGAAGTGCCCACTTCTAAGTTAGCTGGGTCACCATGGTTCTCTCTTGAAAAGATTCCTTTTCAAAATAAGAGGTAGTTTCAAACTTGTGGACTATCTAATTATAGAATTGATCCGATTGAGACAGTATGAATCCAAAACAATTATGCAGTTACAATTTTCCAAGAATATGCAGGGAAATCAAATACTGTTCCTTGAGAAGCTACATGACTTTATGAAGAAGTATTCTTGAGGATTACACATGTCAAAGAAATCTTGCGCTTAAAGGAGATAGCACCAGTCTATAAGGGATTAGAGGAAATTATTAGGAAATCAATTTTTATTCCGTGGGAAATATTTATCCATTCTGGCACTGAACATTATTGAAAGCATATACAATAGGGACAATGAAAGAACAGAATAACACATTTATATAAAATCATTATTTTAAAGTGTTATACAATTATCTTCAACCCAATAGCGTTTTAAAGAGGTGGGCTAGACAATGGCAATGCCAGGGTGTAGCAAATCCCATTTAAAGTCTTGTCATGCAGTAAGAATATGTACTGCAATCACTTTCAAGAGAGAATTGATATATAAAATCACTCAATTATCTTTAATAATTGTTGCCATATTGTCCAAGAAGTTAATACATATGACATATAACAAAATGATATTTTACGTTTTGAAAAACAAAAATGAAAAATAGATAACCCAATGTGACGAACAGTAAACTAAGCACTAAATAAAATAGCTACCACTTTTAATACAATGGAAAATGTGAAAGCAGTGGCCATCTTAGAAATAGGCATTCTTTAAATGAACAGACTGACAGACAGAGGGCATTACCGTATACCAAACTTACTTAAAGCCAGGGCACAAAATAATTCAGACACTGATGATCTCCATTCCCAGAGATTTACAGACTAAATACATCAGAAAAATGTTGATATAACCCAGTCATGTTTCAGATAATATAATTTCTGTCAGGATATCCGGATCCATCATCATTTAGAAATCATATTTCAATTGGAGTAAAGTAAAATAGCTCATTACAAGTGCTTTTCGACTTATCAGCTTGGCTATAAATATGAATGAAATCATTTAAAGATCACTGGAATAACTTGATTCTTCATCTAAGCCTTGTTAATAAAACTCATTTGTCATAATATAGGATGGTTTATATAGACAGACACTTGGGGCTTGACTTGATGGAGGGAATATTAGAAGTTTTAAATGAAGTTAACAGATGAATTGCTTATCTAAGGTAGCATTCATGGATTCACGGACTGCCACCTGACGGTTTAACCTACTATTTTATGGCTGACTCATTTAAATATGAATATACCTGCCACTATTCCATTCATATTTAATGAGTTGGTCTTAAAATAGTAGGTTAAACTGTCAGCTGCCAGTTGAATTCAAAAATGCTACCTTAGTCTCAAATGAAACTGAGACTTTTGTGGCTTATGAAGGCACCTCATGTCATATGACTGATATTCCAAAAGTATCAATACATTTTCTCTATTTTCAACTCTGAGGCAAAAAACAATGTAATCAGACACAAAATTAAAATTTAAAATTTAGACAAACATGAACAATATATTCAAATAAAAAATAAATAAACAAACAATACACATGCTTTATTTTCCAATCTTGAGACAAACAAAATAATTTTCAAAAAATCAATCAAAATAAACAAAACCCCCTAAAAATATCAACTAAACGAAACTGGATGTAACATAGCTTGGCTTTAATTCAGTTCATTCTACTGTCCTCCATCCAACAGAGCCAGAATGGTGCTACAGTATTATTTTAGTATACATATTAGCTTGATAAGTCCCGTGAGACTCATAAGTTTACCTAAATAAGCTATAAAACTGGTATATATTATAAAGCAAACTCGTAAGAACTCTAACTAGCCACAATAAATAGTCTCTTCATACTTTGTTAATGTTCATTATGGGGCCAGAAAGCGTCAAATAGCTAAAAACAATAGTCATTCAATTATAACTCATCCTATTTGTGGAGGCAATCAACACCACAAATTTTGTGTATGTTTCAAGGAATTTATGATTGACATATCTATTCACCTTTTTTATGATTAATAATTAATATCTCAATGTCGTGTTTCTCATTTTTACTATCCAAATGGCTATTTCTTGTATGGTGAACCAATCTACACATCAACAAAGCAATGACAACATAACGCTCTTCAAGTTGGATAAAATATAATATTCTGCATAACTATCAATTTGAGGTTGACTGTAGTAATCCATTAGGTACAATTAGACTTTTTTATCATTTATGGCATTTATCATTTGGTATCTAGCCTTTCATCAAGGTAGACAAAGGGAAGGAGAGATAGAATTGTTGTCTGATATGCTAAATGTTTGTTTTATTTGAAACCTAAAATCATGAAACGATATCCACAACTAAAATGTATTAAGTGTATTAATTTTTTGGAAACCCTGCAGTTTTCTCATATTTCATGGCAATCAGTCTGATATAAACAACTCAAATAATGTCAGCATCAGGGATATAACACTAATTTCAGAATTTGAAAACTAAGTTTGACACCCATTTTCCCCGAATTGACATTTTTGAAAATCATGCAAATAAGTTATTTCAACATTTATAAAAACTAATTTTAAGATATTTCTTTAAAATTAGAGAGACAAAATTCAATACATAACATTTGAAGATGATTCTTGTTAAATTATTGACATCTCTTAAAATATCAAAGGGCTACAGTTGAACCAAAATATTTGAACACTTTTGTTCCTCCTTCATTCTACATTCAAACACTTCTATAATGAACACCTTGAACTATTTGTTGAATTCTAAAGATGTCCCGTTGACTTGAATGAGATTACCATGCAGTACCTCTTCATAGGAACATTTAGATGTACATGTATTCCAAGCAGTGTCCACATTAAACAGATTAACTGTATATTTAGCTTTATTTGTTCCATCTAATGTTTAGGTCATATGGAGAAGGAGCTCAGATGACCATCCCCTTACTATTGGCTTATTCACATTTGTTGGAGATACAAGAATAAAAGCTAAAGCCAACAAGCGAACAAATGAATGGAGTCTAATAATTGAAGATACCAGATTATCAGATGATGATATTTACGAGTGCCAAGTCAGCACTACGCCAAAAATAGGACGTAACGTCCGATTAAATGTTAGAGGTGAGTAGACTTTTCTCTAATTATCAAGTATTCCATTTTTATTCTAAATCTTGTATATTTAAATTTAATTAAATATATATAATTAATTTGTATGATATACTGTATATGAACTGAAAGTCTAATAAATGAAAGATTTAAGGAGCAGATCATTTGAGAATATAACTAATACCATTGAACCATGATTTCTATAGATTTGATTTTATCTGACTGATTTGAATAATATGAACTGCACATGAGAAGATGTGAAAAATATTAATCCGGCACAAAACACAACACATTAAACTAGTAGGAAACCTTTGAAAAATTCCCTGTCACTTCATCATAATTATAACTAAGGGACCATCTCATATGTGGATGGATCAACAGGGGGGGGGGTCAGCATTTAATAAAATAGATTATGTGGAATAAACTGTGAATATTTGAGATGGCCCAAAGGTATCACAAAATTAGAAAGAAATGGTTTCTTGTCCAGAATATGATGTTTGCATTTAACTAGATCCACATATGATATGATCATATTTATCTACATCCACATATGATTTGATCTCATCTGACTAGATCTATATATGATTTGTTCATATTTAACTGCCACAACATATGTTTATATTTAACACGTTCCACTTCTGATATATTTATATTTAACTAGATCCACATATAATTTGTTCTTCTTTATCAAGATCTACATGTACATATGACTTATTCATATTAACTGTCACAACATATGTTCATATTTAATTCGATCCATATATGATTTGTCCATAATTAACTAGATCAACTTATGATTTGTCTATAATTAACTAGATCCACATATGATATGTTCATATTTAACTAAATCCATATATGATTTTTTCATATTTAACTAGATTTACATATGATTTGTTCATATTTAACTAGATTTACTTATGATTTGTCCATAATTAACTAGATCCACATATGATTTGTCCATAATTAACTAGTTTCCACTTATGATTCCTTCATATTTAACTAGATTTACATATGATATGTTAATTTAGCTAGCTCCAAATATTTTATGTTTTTATTTAACTAGCTCCGCATAAAGCTCACATACCCGACAATGTGCGGCACAGGGATGCCCATTTAGGTGCAAGACATCTAGGTATAGAAATAGAACTGGTCATATCTTGGGGTTGTACAGAATACCTGAACTGATTGAAAAATGGACCAGTTAACAGTTGCGTGAATTTATTACTAGCAATATGATCCAGGAAGTCTGAAAGCTCAAATTATAAGAAGAGCAAGTGTTCATTTTTGCAATTAAAAATGATAAAATGTGCAGACCAGTATTGATATAGCTAGGGACCTAAAAGTCCTGTATTTCAAATAATTCCATTCTTCTCAAGAGTTAAACAAGTTTTGGCAATATAACATTTTCAGATTTCTCTTTCATATTACTAGTCATCTATCAAAACAAGTAACTGGTTCAAGTTTTAGTCTTTACAGGATACACTGATCTTTGCACAAACTTGGGCGCACTATGGTAGTTGCCCTTCCATTTATTGTTGCCCTTCCCCCATAGAAATTCCTCCTTTTGGAGACAAAAGGAGGCCCTTCATGTTAAATTAAATATTGTAGCAGGGGGTGCTTACAGATTGTTGTAACTCTGTATCCCAATGCCCTTAGTTCACATTTACACACACTTTACACAAACCTTGTACAGTATATACATGTATATATACCACCTACTGAAAGCCCCCTGAAGCACCCCATCATTTCACCTAACCTTAACACAATGACACACCAATATATACACATATTATGACAGATGATGACATGTCAACATTTATTATTAAGAACAGTGCAACAGTGTCCTATGTTTCCCTACCTATCACAGCTTGTCGTGACTTTTTAAGGAATTATGTAAGACATAAACTCTCAAAATAATATCTCCTTCAAAAAATGAATATACTGTATATTAATGTACCATGTAAAACCAAATACATCTGAAGACAATGACATCTATAAAATCTAATATCTTGGTAGAAAACATTTGTTACTTAAAAACCTTTGTTACATGAAAACTTTTATTAGTAGAAAACCTATGTTAGCAAACAAGTTTTGGAAAGTCACCTCAGTACTATTAACGTCCTAAATTGTACCAGATTTTATAATCGTTTTCAAAAAGAAATCATGATTTTTAAGGCTTAAATGCATATAACATTTTGAAGGAAAAATGATTTCTGTGAATTCCAATTCATATTCATGTTATGTAAAGTTTGTTTCTGAACTGTCAGTGATATATACAGTATAATATACCTTTTTACAGTATAATATTACTTTTTAATCCCTTTTCCACTCACATTTTCCTTAAAAGGGCATGACTACCTGACGTTGTTCCTCCCTTTCATTTGTTGTACCAATAAAATAATAAACATGTGTATTTGGATTTATTAATATTTTATATTTTTACCATTGTACTTTATGTTGTTCCGTTATTTATTCATTTATTCTTATTTATTATAAGTTAACATAAAAATGTATTGTTTAAAGTTTGATACTTAAAGTATTGAGGAGTTTTTCATAAAAAAAAGTTTCATCATTTAGTCATCCAGTAAACTTTTTATTATTCTTTTTTTTGATTTGTATATAAAATTGTTAAACTATTGATTGACATGACAAAATGTAAAATAGCATTCATTTATTCCAGTCATGTCTGACGATTTAAACCCAAAAAAAAGAAATCAAACATTGTACTTTCATGTAAATAACAGCCTATGGCCCTACATGTTATCCATGATATTTTACAACAATTTGGAGGACAACTGGATGCAATCAGACACTGCCTATTCATAGAATCTCACAAAAACTGAATTCAAAAATCTAAAAATTAAAATATACAAGGCATAGAACTGTCAAAGTATGAAGTAAGCATGCATGATAATAAAACTCCAAAATTTACAAAAATACTTGAAAAGTATTGATACTTTTTGACTTATAGATTAATAAGGAGAATGCAGCTGCAAAAACTGACATTTAAGGCTTTGGTAGAAGTCCATATTGAATGTAAGATCAGACAACTACAATCACAAAAAACATGTTCAAGTCATGCTTGAGGGAATTCATTTGAACATCAGTAACAAACCATAAGAGAACATGCTGAATATATTCTTGCATTTCCGTCTATTATCAGAATAATATTCTGTTTTTATCAGTTTCAATTACAAGGCGAGTCAATCAAGAAGGTGCAATAAAAAGCTATTATAAATATCACACCTTTCAATGCCAATACTGAAACTTGCACTAACATGCCAATGAGATTATTAATTTTAGATTATTTTCAAGTAAGCCAAGTCTGTTTATTTTTTGCCATTTATTAGGTATTAGGACTATGACCATTGTTGGATGAAGCCTATTTCCCTCGTTGGGAAATAAAGAAAGCTGCTATATACTATTATCCTGAATTCTTATATTCTAAACACACATTGCAATTTTTAACTATAATTTGAGGTAGTTCTATACATAGTGTACATATGTAGAGTGTGCATATGGTGTAATGGATGTGAAAGATTGCAGTGGGTCTGTACAGTGTATATATGGTGTAAGAGATGTGAAAGATTGCAGTGGGCCTGTAGAGTGTGTAAATGGTATAATGGATGTGAAAGATTGCGATGGGTCTATACAGTATGTATATGGTGTAAGAGATGTGAAAGATTGCGATGGGTCTATACAGTGTGTATATGGTGTAAGAGATGTGAAAGATTGCAGTGGGCCTGTAGAGTGTGTAAATGGTGTAATGGATGTGAAAGATTGCGATGGGTCTATACAGTATGTATATGGTGTAAGAGATGTGAAAGATTGCAGTGGGTCCGTACAGTGTGCAAATGGTGTAAGAGATGTGAAAGAAAGATTGTGATGGGGCTATACAGTGTGTATATGGTGTAATGGATGTGAGAGATTGCAGTGGGTCTATACATAGTGTGCATATGGTGTAATGGATGTGAAAGATTGCAGTAGGCCTGTAGAGTGTGTAAATGGTGTAAGAGATGTGAAAGATTGCAGTGGGCCTGTAGAGTGTGTATATGGTGTTAAGAGATGTGAAAGATTGCGATGGGTCTATACAGTGTGTATATGGTGTAAGAGATGTGAAAGATTGCGATGGGTCTATACAGTGTGTATATGGTGTAAGAGATGTGAAAGATTGCAGTGGGCCTGTAGAGTGTGTTAATGGTGTAATGGATGTGAGAGATTGCAGTGGGTCTATACATTGTGCATATGGTGTAAGAGATGTGAAAGATTGCAGTGGGCCTGTAGAGTGTGTAAATGGTGTAAGAGATGTGAAAGATTGCGATGGGCCTATACAGATGTGAAAGATTGGAGTGGGCCTGTAGAGTGTGTAAATGGTGTAAGAGATGTGAAAGATTGCAGTAGACCTGTAGAGTGCGTAAATGGTGTAAGAGATGTGAAAGATTGCGGTGGGCCTGTAGAGTGTGTAAATGGTGAAATGGATGTGAGAGATTGCAGTGGGTCTATACAGTGCGTTTATGGTGTAAGAGATGTGAAAGATTGCAGTGGGCCTGTAGAGTGTGTAAATGGTGTAAGAGATGTGAAAGATTGCAGTGGGCCTGTAGAGTATGTATATGGTGTAAGAGATGTGAAAGATTGCAGTAGACCTGTAGAGTGCGTAAATGGTGTAAGAGATGTGAAAGATTGCGGTGGGCCTGTAGAGTGTGTAAATGGTGAAATGGATGTGAGAGATTGCAGTGGGTCTATACAGTGTATATGGTGTAAGAGATGTGAAAGATTGCGATGGGTCTATACAGTATGTATATGGTGTAAGAGATGTGAAAGATTGCGATGGGTCTATACAGTGTGTATATGGTGTAAGAGATGTGAAAGATTGCAGTGGGCCTGTAGAGTGTGTAAATGGTGTAATGGATGTGAAAGATTGCGATGGGTCTATACAGTATGTATATGGTGTAAGAGATGTGAAAGATTGCGATGGGTCTATACAGTGTGTATATGGTGTAAGAGATGTGAAAGATTGCAGTGGGCCTGTAGAGTGTGTAAATGGTGTAAGAGATGTGAAAGATTGCAGTGGGCCTGTAGAGTATGTATATGGTGTAAGAGATGTGAAAGATTGCAGTGGGTCTATACAGTGTGTAAATGGTGTAAGAGATATGAAAGATTGCAGTAGACCTGTAGAGTGCGTAAATGGTGTAAGAGATGTGAAAGATTGCGGTGGGCCTGTAGAGTGTGTAAATGGTGAAATGGATGTGAGAGATTGCAGTGGGTCTATACAGTGTGTATATGGTGTAAGAGATGTGAAAGATTGCAGTGGGCCTGTAGAGTGTGTAAATGGTGTAAGAGATGTGAAAGATTGCAGTGGGCCTGTAGAGTATGTATATGGTGTAAGAGATGTGAAAGATTGCAGTAGACCTGTAGAGTGCGTAAATGGTGTAAGAGATGTGAAAGATTGCGGTGGGCCTGTAGAGTGTGTAAATGGTGAAATGGATGTGAGAGATTGCAGTGGGTCTATACAGTGCGTATATGGTGTAAGAGATGTGAAAGATTGCAGTAGACCTGTAGAGTGCGTAAATGGTGTAAGAGATGTGAAAGATTGCGGTGGGCCTGTAGAGTGTGTAAATGGTGAAATGGATGTGAGAGATTGCAGTGGGTCTATACAGTGCGTATATGGTGTAAGAGATGTGAAAGATTGCAGTGGGCCTGTAGAGTGTATAAATGGTGTAAGAGATGTGAAAGATTGCAGTGGGCCTGTAGAGTATGTATATGGTGTAAGAGATGTGAAAGATTGCAGTAGACCTGTAGAGTGCGTAAATGGTGTAAGAGATGTGAAAGATTGCGGTGGGCCTGTAGAGTGTGTAAATGGTGAAATGGATGTGAGAGATTGCAGTGGGTCTATACAGTGTGTAAATGGTGAAATGGATGTGAAAGATTGCAGTGGGTCTATACAGTGTGTAAATGGTGTAAGAGATGTGAAAGATTGCAGTGGGCCTGTAGAGTATGTATATGGTGTAAGAGATGTGAAAGATTGCAGTAGACCTGTAGAGTGCGTAAATGGTGTAAGAGATGTGAAAGATTGCGGTGGGCCTGTAGAGTGTATATATGGTGTAAGAGATGTGAAAGATTGCACTGGGCCTGTAGAGTGTGTAAATGGTGTAAGAGATATGAAAGATTGCAGTGGGCCTGTAGAGTGTGTAAATGGTGTAAGAGATGTGAAAGATTACAATGGGCCTGTAGAGTGTGTAAATGGTGTAAGAGATGTGAAAGATTGCAGTGGGCCTGTAGAGTGTGTAAATGGTGTAAGAGATGTGAAAGATTGCAATGGGCCTGTAGAGTGTGTAAATGGTGTAAGAGATGTGAAAGATTGCAGTGGGCCTGTAGCCTGTGTAAATGGTGTAAGAGATACAAGTTTGCAAATGGTATAAAAAGATTTGGAAGATAAGTGTCCAATATTGATTAGCCAATAAAACAAATCTACCAAGTTATCAACCATTGCATGTTCCTCAAAATGAGATCAACCTCTGAGAAAAGGTTCATCATACATCTGCTTTATCTCTCAGCGTCAAACAGTGCAATCATTCCAAATTATAGATATGTGTTATATCAAAATGTTGCGCAGATATCAATTGTTTACAAAGATTATAAAAAAATACAATATGAATCTGAACTATGAGCACATATAATCAACATTTATATATACTGCCGTCTGCATTATTTCTATAATTTGGCATTAGTTCCGATACTTTTGTGATCAGATGGTATGAAATAACTAAAGGGAATACTAACAATTCTAGCTAAGAGGTTACTAACAGACTTCACTCTATAATCATATTTATCATACTACTGCGATCAGATAAATTATCATGAAAGAGCCATGTCCAACTAAATTAAAATGACAGTAAGTTATAACGTGCACCATTGGGGACTCCTCAATTCAATTTTTAATCATCAAAGTTGAGAAGCGTTGTCTCGTGGGTGCTTTATTGTTTCAGAAAGGGGTCTTAAACTCTCTTGCTTTGTGATATTTCTAGATAATTTAGAGGCAATGTAGTGGACCTTCATGATCCTGTTGAGAATCATTATTGATCTCTTGTCATCCGTCTGCTTTCTTTCATTTTGGTCATACATATTTCATGCAATTTCTCAATAAAATTTGTAAAAAGTGTTTGATGTTCTGGCAGTTCTAAATAATTCAGAATATGGACATCATGCCTGTTTACTTTATATCTCGTTAAATCCATGATATTTTGTGTAATTTTCATTTCAAAACATGAACAACATGGTATTATTTTCTTGGGAATATCCCTCCTCGATCATCCAAGAACAACAGCAGAATGTACTAGGAAGACAATGATACTTAATTTTAGACCATTAGTTTTCCAAAAATTATCCCTACAAATCAATTGCACTGCACTGAATCTCTCCCCCTCCATCCTCTTTGGGACTAACATATGTCTATTTATATAAGATTTAAGATAAAGGACTTTTTCGTCAAAAAGTTAGGGGTAACCAACCTGACCACACCCCACATCTAAAACGCCTCACATTAGCAGTGATAAAATATGTGGTACACACATCAGAGTTTTTCAATACACAGAGTGGTCCAAATTATTTTAGGACAAGTCTATGCTGAATAAATAAAAAAGTTGAAGTTCATTTGTGATCTGGGATCATTTGATCATTTCAATGTCCTTGGAACATGATATATATGTACACCACGCCATCTTTAAATAAAGAGTTGTTTATTCTACTCCAAAAGTGTTGTCTTTCTTTGCTTTAAATGTATTTAAATGGATTTTCAAAAAAATATGTTCATACTTGTAAAGAAAATAATATTGTTTTCATTCATGACCTTTACAAAAAAGAGTAAAAAATGAATCTTAATGGCTTGTACCATATTGCAGGAACCTAAGAAAATCATGCATTTTGAGAATACCTAAAAATATACTTACCTTAGAATAGTAGTATGTAAGCCTCTACCAGTTACACCACAAAGCACACCATGTCTATCACAATGTATCGAGCCACCATGCATTTAGATCAACCAGAGTCGCACGACCTCTAATTGCATGTCACCTTGACCTCCAGAAGTGACCTTGACCCAAGTTTCCCCTTTCTATTTCAGAGAATTACAAGGATGGGGCCCAAGGTGAGTTCAAGCATGACTAGTTATGCTGAAAGAGTAAATTACAATTTTGAGAAATCCATCATTTTCAATTATTTTTGCTTATCTGGGTCATGGGAATGCGTTTTCTTAATTTGGGAGAATCGGGAAACTAAACAAATAAATGTGTTTTCAATTACTGCCACAGTGCCACATATTAAAGAAATTAGATTTTTGTGATGTAATAACATAATACAACAATATCATATTTCAAAGAATTGATGATAAAAATCTTATATTTAATTGATGAATTTTATATGTAATGAATTTCTGAATGTAAACATATTGATGGATTTATTAAAATTGTCAGTCAGCTCTCTGTTTAACCCACTAACCACTAGCTTGTTTGTAACCTTACCTACAAGAAAATAGTTCCCCAATCCCCTATATCAATACACCACACAAGCATGTAACACTGTACCATATATGTTTCCATAGATGATGCTGTATTCTGAGAGTATACTATGATTAACATATATAATAAATATTATGGGATATATGTAGAATATTTGTAGATGTTTTGTGTGTCTAAAATTGTTTGTGTGTTTATACATTTTATAACAAAAAACAAAAATACCAGAAGGATGGAGATATAAAATTTCACAATATGCTTTACCTAGATTTACACAAATAACAGAAATTAAATGTTAACTATATTAGCCACATATTAGACGTGTTTTATTAATTCTGCTTGCTTTGTGTTTTTGATTTAAAAATTTGCTTAATGGGTGTTGGTTAAAGTAAATTTTCTAAAATAATTTAAATGTGCAAATGAAATACTATATGATATATCGAGGACATGCACAAACCTTTAGTAAAAACTAATTGAATTAATTGGCTTGCTTGATTTAAAGTAGCAGCAAAGACTGGATAGTCTAAAATGTTTGAGGAATCTTTTTCTGAAAGCATGCCTATGCTTTCCTTATAATGTGTATATACCTGGAAAAGAATTGAGATACAAGACTAGGAACTAATTCAAGATTGGAGAAATTTTGAAGATTTAGTTTACTCACAACTTGGCTCTAGTCTTTGTTGCACCTTTAAATTGAAGGATCTTGTTTCAATTTTGTATCACAGATATATCTGAAAATAAAGGGCCTTCTACAGCTTTAGCTCAACAATAATGGATAAAGCATGTCGTCCCAGACTTTAAATGATAGATATTGAATGCTATGCATGTTACTAAACCTCAATATTATTCTAGACATTTCAGGTTCTACACTAAAAAATGTCCTCATTTCAAAATCAATCAAATGATGATCTCAATTCTACAAAATCTATCATAACTTTGAATGCATGTTTGATGTTTCAATGTATGTTGTCATGGCAACTGTCTCTTAGGTGTACAATGATTGCATGTTTATAAAAACTAAAGCTATCAATATCTTCTGTCAGAGCCACCTATACTTCAACATTCATTTGCTTTTTATATATTGTATTCAATTCCAATAAAATATCAATCGAAGAAATAGTCAATCAGTAAAATAACCAATCAAAATACAAGTAAGACGTGCATTTGGAACTCCAATTTTTTAATTATTAATCGCAATATTTTGAGAGTTCATTGATATGATCTTAAAAATCAATAAAAGCTTTATAATGATGTCATAGAGTAATGTCTTTATTTGAGAATCCAAGCTCAAATATTAAAGAATATTAGGCCAAGGGTAAAATAATTCTTCATCCTAGATTAGACCAATTGATCTTTCCTAAAATTAATCAATCAGTTGATAGTTCTTTGTACATACAGGGTATCTCAAAAATAAGTATATCTTTATATTTAAGATGTTTAAATGCTTCAATCATTGCTCTTACAAACAATTTAAACAAACAACTTCAAGTATTAATAAGAGAGCTTTAATATAAAGGTGAACTAATTTTTAGACACCCTGTAACTGTACACATATTGTTATAAATATGAGATCATCTTTTAAACACTTGGCATAATTACTTTTTTACATATTGTGAAAATTATCTATCAAAATTATTATGAATTATAATATGATTGATTACAATTATTCCAAATCAAAAATGATTATATTTAACAATTTGGAATTCAAAAGATATATATCACTGACTAAAAATTCCCCAGGGAGTTGATTTTCATCTATTTAATGAAATATTAGTCTATTAAAACCTTGTGAAAAAAAAATTGAAAAAGATCTATTTTAATCAAACCAAAAAAAATTCTCCATTGATTCATTTTCATAGAAACATCCAAATATTTGAAAATACCAGTAATTCTATTTTTATAAATATTTTGATTGAATATAATTTAAGTATGTATTACTCTGAAAGGTCTAAAGTTGTTTTACCAAAGTGGCTCCAAAGATGGACATATATCACATGCCAATCTTGCTCCTCAATTAATCATTGACGTCTATTAATCATTGAGGATTATAGATTCTTCATCTATGTTCTCCCCTGACCCCAAAACAGCACCCAACCCTAAAATTGATCAATCAAAGCCCCAAATTGTAAACTTACAAAAGGTTTTATTTATATGTTGAGGTCTCTAATGAAAAATGACATTGGATAATTTGCAACATCAAAATAAACAATTATAATGGTGGAATGCAATAACCAATGATAAATGTCTGTTACTGTGTTATGTGATAGTCTCTGTGAAGTAAATAGTATATATGTATGTCATTGTATGTTGGATACATAGGAAATTAAATGACTGGCCTTTAAATGACTTTAGTTGTAAAATCAGGATCTGAGGTAAATATGTATCATTCATGTCATGATATCTGAAAAAGAGGCTGAGGCTTCTTCTCAAGGAGATCAAGGAGGATTGGCTCCCAGAATGCAACACCGATATTCTGCAAAACAATCACCTAGCGATAGCTTTGTTGGAGAGTATCGGGTCATTCTCCATGCAGTCGTACAAATTATACAGACACGAATAGCAAATGACGCATGCGTGGAGATTAAAGAATATCGAGTTGGAACCCTGGCTTCCAATCCTCCTTGCAAGGAGATCTTAGGATTATGTTTATGAACCAACTGAATGTAGAGACTTGTGACTTGTGAATGGTGTGTATATATCTTATGGTGCCTGAATAATATACATGTTTTCAATGGGAATCAATCGACAATACTTTGACTCAGTCAAAGTATGGCAAAATATTAAAAAGATTTATTTACTATTTTTGACAAAATCCCAAGTAGACTACTCAAATATGTTTATGTTCGTATTCACCATCCTCAAATTTTAGATAATAAGCGATTGCTACTGAGGGAGTATAATGCCAAAAAATAATCAAAGGAGATGTTTGAAATTGAAAGAAAATGGAGAAACCACCATGATATTACAACACACCAGATATTGTAGTTATAATTGTGCCATTTACATTTTGTGTGGCAACTAAGTATAGAGCAATGAAAATAATGATGCTGATAATAAACCAAGGGTGTATGTAAGAGAATTTGAGTTTGAATAATTTTGAATTTAAAAAGTACTTCCAGTCTTTTAATATTTAGCCATATTTGACTGAATTAACAATTGACAACATGTGATTACAATTCTCCATATCTCCAAATACTAACTGATTTGCTAATTTTAGTGGTGTATATTATAGTAGGCCATATCAACATGGTGCCCCAGTAAACCCTGTAGACAGACATTTGCATGTTATTCATTAATGACAACTTTTCTTTCAAACAGGGACAGAGAACACGGGCGCCCGCCTCAACAATGAGAATGAACATACAAGGAAACACAAAAATCGTAAAAAGAATAAACATGGTACAAAGACCACCACAAAAGCTCCAAGAGTTCAGAGTAACAATGGTTGGTTAAATTCTCAAGCAGATAGACATTATTTATCCTCAGTATCTCCATAGTAACACTCCTCATCTAACCCTTCATGTAAAGTTCCTTGAAATATTTTGAGCAACAGCTTCATCCTAGAATTATATTTTGAATCCTCTTAGTTTCTATACAATTTCGAACAACAATGGAGTAATATTGCTATGAATCAAAATATTATAAATTTTAACAGCTCAATCAAAATACAGCATTGTCTTGTGAGTTATAAAACTGTTTATGGCTTTTAAAACAAATATCATTTCTAAACTTTTCAGTTATTTCAAAATTGTTATGTTTACTCCACCTCGGATTTATAAGAAATCTCACCCAAAAATGTTCATAAATAGCATGTTTCTTAAAATATTTCAAAGAACTAAAACATTCACCTAATATCACTTCAACAGCTTTTACATTAACAACTCTAGGCAGCACCCACCCTTCCTCTACCCTTTATTCTATACTACACCAAATAAAATAACAGGTTAAACAGTCCTACATTTACTACATTTGTCATCTGTCTATTCAGATAAAATTAAACAAAAAGTTTCCTCTTCTGCTTGAGAGAAGATTTTTTCTAAATTGAGCAAGAAATTTCCAATTGTTGTGACAATCTTTATATAACATCTATGTCACTTATGTAATCTGAAATGAGTGTTTTTATTTAGATTGTCCACAAGATGACAATCAATGAAAGTGTGACACTTTTCATTAACTGGTTAACAAACTCATCACATCACTCAACATACAGTCCCACGCATAATTACTCAACTCATACTCTAATGCTGTGGTCACATTTGCTCCAGCAGACCAGCACCCAGCCAATAAGTAATTTGTTCCAAAATTGCATTCAAAACAAACTACTCATCGGCTGTCCTGGTGTCTCCAAAGCTATATATTTTAGATGTGTGTTTTTTGATGTGATGTTTAAAGAACATACGTTTGATAATATAATCCTTAATCAAAAAGTTTGACAATGAAATTCTAATATCCACAGACTAACTACACAACCATCTAACATATAATTAAGGTAGATCCATATGGTGAGAATTTTATTTTAAATTTTCAGGATTTTAATCAAAACAAAACATAGATAAAATAGGTAATATTTTCACAATTTTTCGGAGATACATGCATATTTATATGATATGAGAAAGGACCTGAAAACCAATATCAAAATATATAATATCAACCGAATATTAAAATGAGATTTCTACGTTATTTATTTAGAAAGAGTGCGGAACTACCTTAACTGTGAACATCAACTATTTTAGTATAAACATATTGTTTCCTTAAAGAGAGGGAGTACTAATCTTTAATGAAGATGTGACTACAGTATTGCAAAGCACTATTCCAAATTAGATGTCCACACTTCATATATCATGTCATTATCATATACGAGGGCACATAAGTTACACATCTAGCAAGGGCACATTAATACCAAATATTGTACTATAAGCACATTCTACACTTAGAACACCCGTTATACATCACATTAATTCTAATAAGACTGACAAAGTCATAGAATACAAGCACTAGTTATTTAGCACTCAAGGATGTAGTTCACCTAGGCATAGGGCACATAAAATGCCAAGCAAGACAAACGTCATTAAGGGCATATAGTAACATGGGTCATAGGGCATATCCTATATCATATATGACGTTAATAATAAGTTATCAGATGGAAAATTAAATAGGCTTTGTATCATACCTGATATGGGGTTTATAGCAATATACAGTAACATATCAGATGGAGTATAGGGCTTATAGTATTAGATGTTAGATGTGGCATAGGGCATATAGGAAATTGATTATAGATGTGAAAATAATACTTTATGTAATATAGATGGTATATTAGCTATACACCCCCAAAATGCAATCTGATTTTCGACGCCGTTTCGGTGCCAAATTTCAGTGCCGTTTCGGCACCAAATGGACTGACTAGTCCGGTAGCAAATTTTGGTGTCGAAAGGTTTCGGTGCCGGAACGGTGTCGAAACGGTACCGGAACGGTGCTGAATTTTTTCGATGCCGAAACGGCGTCGAATTATATTGGCTGTGTATATCATATACAATATCAAACAAGACCTAGGGCATATAGTATATTTATGATATACAGGGCATAAAGTATACTTCATGACATATATGGCATGAAGTATTTTTAGGCTCTTCATGCTAATACATCATCTAACATTTCAATATTACGTACTGATAGTCATGTCAGGCCTACTATCAATCATAAACTGTCTTTATATTAATGAGCTAATAAAAAGGAGCACTGTCACTTTAAGACACTTTATTTATTAATGCTTAAAGGGACACCATCTCTATTAACAATTTAAAAATTCAAGCGATTCTATTAAAAAGCCAGTATCCCTTTAATAATAGGGGATAAGTTCCTGAATCATAGCAGGGATTTGGTAACCTTGGGAAACATTTTTCAAGAATTTTTTTTTATTATTTACCTTTAAGGTGCTTGTCTAATATAATCAAGGTGAAGGTTATTATTACTTTATTTTCTTCCTTGAATTTTTAAATTCAGAGTGCAGATTTCTTGGATCACATGTGATTTTCTCAGTCTAAATATGCTCATTCTGCAGTTTCTCTTCAATCATCTGAAGTAAGTTTTAGAAATGGAGTTGAACTTAATGTGAAAAGAAATCCAAAGAAGCCTTCTATATATAAAAAACATTTATAAAGTTATGGACATATGACAATCATTAATAATATTCTATTTCCAAAATGGAAAGATTTACTTATTGGTGGTTTAAAACCCGAGCTAGATTAATGTGTGTGTTTTGTGACATAATGCACTGCCATATTTTAACATGAGAATGAATTAGCATTTTTGCAATTTTGCACGGGCTGAAGGTTAATTTGATTGGCGTTTGGGTATTTTCAAGATTCAATACTAAAATAAATCCTATGTACTTTAATCAGTTTTTCAATTTGACATCTGACTTAATGACCAATACTATGATTTTAGATTTTTCTTCTGGAGAAATAATTTGTCAAATGACCATTTTTGGCAATTTTTTAATATTTTGGCATTTATAACAAAACATATGATATAAAATTGTGTGATAAAATCTCATATTTGGAACATATTCTATGGTGCTGAAAGGCTCTTACAGTTGAAATTAACTTTGGGGCTGTCTTTAAAGTTTCGCTGGGCAGAAAACATAAGAATCTGTCTTAGAGAGGCTCAGTGTCTATTTCTGATTCTAAAATTCACCAAAATTGAAAGGAATGGAGCTTTGTATCAAAGTCTATTGATTATGCAAATTACATTTAAAAAATTGAGGATATTTTAGAGAGAGAGAGCCCTTTGAAACAAAACCTGAAACAAAACCTGAAAAAAACAGCGTGTACACACATGATATCCCTCTCTATCAAGAGAAACCACAAGAAAGACTTTGAACTAAGAAAGATTTCAGAAATCTTTTCAGACAGCTCCAACAAGTAGATAAAATCTAAAATCATAATTCTTCTATAGACTTTTCTTAAATATATAACCCATTTGCATTAACCCATTTTTCCAATTGCAGTTATCACTATAGCGACCAGCAACGAATATGTTGTCATAGGTGGGCCAGTATTCATAGAATGCAATGCTACGGGCCGCCACAATTATGCCACTGGGGCCCCTGAACCTCCCCCTGCCATCACATGGTACAAAGATGGCGACCCCATAGACTCTAATGCCGAAACTGGTGTATTAATTACAAAGAAAAATGATATGAAGACTAATAAGTTAATAAGTACGCTTTCTATACGAAAAAGTAAAAAACAGGATACGGGGACCTATATATGTCGATCAGACACAGAAAAGAAGGATACCGATTCTGTTACCATATATGTCATTAATGGTAAGACTGCATCAAGTTCAAAGTATCAAACATAAATCTTTTTTTGGTTTTTCATGATTTCCTCATCAAGAACCATGCAGACCAATCGCTGCACTAAAAAGTTCTCCACATAATGATTTGGCAAATTTACTTTCCCACAAAATTCTAATGCATTTAAAAAGTCAACATAAAGGAAAGGAAATACGCCACAGGATGTTTTACCTTTACAAGGATTTGAAAGTCAGGGTTATTCACAAAGTCATATGATATTTTCTGAAAAGAAGACATGTCCTATTGTCCTTCTATATGCTATTAAGATCAAAAACTATGGAGGCATCTAATTCTTGACCCCCTCCAGGGGCGTAGCCAGTTTTCAGTCAAGGGGGGTGCGATCACCAAATAAATTTCAGTTTTCAGTCAGGGGGGTGCAATTGCATGCATAAACAAGCCAAAATATACTTGACTTATTTTGAATTTTAGAAAAATTTATACAACTTCCTTCAAAATTAAGCTAGAAGCTTCAAACAAAAATAATTTTAAAGCTCTTTTCTTCCTCTTTCACCCCCTGGCTACGCCTATGTCCTCCTCTCTCCCAACATTTCTTGTTCAATTAATGAGGACACCATGGAAAACATAGATAAGTAGACACCATAGAGGGTAGGATAATCTACTGACTACTGGATTCCAGCTACATGTGCTAGCCATCATTCATACTAGGGTTCAATTTTCATTGATTCTCAGTATACTTTGCATTCAATTCCACCATATACATTCGGGTATTAAGTCTTATAACTAGTTTAAAGTCAATGTGGTCAGACTGATATCCAGTTAAAGCGAAGAAAATAATTTACTTTCTGTCATCGATGCTGCTGTGAATTTGCAAGCAAACGGCTGAGAATGAATGAAACATTTTACTTCAGCATGGACGGTTTGGGTAACAAGTAGCTGGAACTAGTTGGTATCTCGTAGTTTACCTACATCCTCTCATCATAGATTAAATATATTGTTTGGGCGGATAATTCAATTATTGTTGTTCAGTTAGTCGCTATTATCCCATAGGGCCTTAGTATATTGAATGTAATTTATTTGATCTGCTTATGACACACATGGTACTCCCAAAAATTAATTTAAGTTTGAATAAAATTATTTATTGAGTATATCAACCTCGGAGTATTTTAATTCTTATCAAACTGAGGACCATGGGCAATTAAAAAGATAGACCACCACCACTATCCGCTTGAAAAAGTTATCGCACTTTCAAAACATTGATCAACTGAAAAAAACAAAAATCTAACAAAATGCATTATATAAAACTAACCCTGAAAGAAACCAATTTACTGAGTGATGAACATAAACTTAAAATAATATTGCTTAAATGTATAATTTGACACTCACGCAGCACTCTCTTTTTCTTTTCTATGTGCTCCCCTGCCTGTATGGTTCTCCGTTGAACAGAAGCCAACGATAATGTCAAACGCTCTGGTAGGTTTCACATATTCACATTTTTCATTTCCTGGTTTCACATTGCGCATTGTAACATTTCAGAGATTTTCTATGCAGATTCACATATTTGTAGGTTGAGATGGTTTTTGAGGGGCCTCTCTTTTCAATCCAAACTAAAATGTTTTACGTTTTGAAGAAAATTAGAATATTGATGCTGATTTTTCTTACTGTAGGATATAAAACCATCAGCAAAAAAAAATTAAGCAAAAATTTCATGATTTATCCAATGCCAATGTGAGCCACTGTGACTCGTTTTCAATTTGAAAGGTATCATAATTTAGCTATTTTAATAATGAAAAAATATAGTATTACCATCATGATTTTAAATACTAGTTTTATTTATCTATAATCCCATGGTCCTCAAATTAAGAACGAGTCATACTGTTTTTAAATACCTGTAGGTACATGAATATTTATAATTATATCAACAAACGGATAATTACAACACCCCACATTATGTGAGCTTATAAGTAGCATATACATTTAATTATACCAATTTCATACATTTAATTGATTAATTTGAAAATAAATAAATATATTTTATTATGCTCTTTTTGCATTACTTTATATGCAGTGTTTTTACCCTTTTCTCTAATTGTATGTGTTTTTATTCCTTTTTCCATGGTTGCTTTGCACAAATTGCTTTATGTTGTTATCTGCATCTAAAACATTTTATCTTCTTCATTTAAATATAACTTTAATTGTAGCAGTGACATTTCAATTATCAGGATGTTTATATATCATAAAATGGATATTTATTACTCAGGACTGATCATTAAATGAGTTCTGATCATAAATAAGGCCTGACCATTTAATGAATTTGCCACTAATATAAGAACTGTTCATGGAATTAGGGAATGATCATTTAATGGGAATTGATCTTTAGAAATAAAAACTGATCATGGAATAGGGACTCATATTATCACTTATATAAAGACAGATCATGGAATAGGGACTGATCATTTAATGAGTTTTCACTAATCTAAGAATTGATCATGGAATAGTGACTGATCATTTAATGAGTTTTTCACTAATTTAAGAATTGATCATGGAATAGGGACTGATCATTTAATGAATTTTCACTTATCTAAGAATTGATCATGGAATAGGGACTGATCATTTAATGAGTTTTTCACTAATTTAAGAATTGATCATTGAATAGGGACTGATCATTTAATGAGTTTTCACTAATCTAAGAATTGATCATGGAATAGTGACTGATCATTTAATGAGTTTTTCACTAATTTAAGAATTGATCATGGAATAGGGACTGATCATGAATGGATTCTAACTCTTTAGTTACTAATCATAGAATGGGGACTGATCATTTTATAGGTATTGATCAAAAACTGATCATGGAATAGGGACTGATCATTTTGTTGGTTCTGAACTTTACTAACTGATCATGGAATAAGGACTTTAATCTTTAGTAAATGATCATGTAATAGAGCCCCATTATAAAATTGGGACTGATAGTAGCTGATATATTTTTCAGGTACCTCAGTACAACATGTAAGAAGCGCCAGCCAAAAGACAGCCTCTGCAGCAAAAAATGCCAAATACATTAGTCTAGTGATTCTATCTTTGACAATGTCCATGGTGTATCGGACTCATCTCCTAAATTGGTGGTAACAATAGTACATAGGATAAGTAAAGTGGATATTACTCATATTCATAAATACTACATATGGTAACCATAGGATATGGAAAATATGTGCATAGGATAAGTATTGCCGATATATTCGGGATATCCATATATGATATTGTAACCACAGGACATGCTATAAGTAGAAGATGGCGAATATATCCTTGCTAAAATAGACATAGTACTGGATAGTGCATATGCATGTAGACTTGATTTGGAAAGCATGCTTCAGACATATGACTGGTAAGATAATATCTATACTGAAATAGACATATCCTAACTTAAAACATTGTAAATGCAGGAGATAAAAGATAGGGTTTTGCTATTAGATAAAATCTATATCCATGCTTCAGAAGCATCTGTAACCATAGGATAAAGACTATATCAGATGGGATATAAAAGTGAGCAGAGATACTCAACCATGGTTGTATGAATGAAATACTGGTGAAGTGCTCTAGTAACCACTAATAAAAATGTGGTATTTAAATCTATTATTGCATTTTGCAAATCAACAAAAATGAAAGATGTGTGGATATCTATAGAGAAATGCGGCAGGTCAGTAGCTAATATTATCAATCAGCCAATCAAATGGATGCTCCAATCAGATGAACAAAGGAGGATAGCAATTCCACAAGCCTTAATGTAAAACACTCGAACGTATAACAAAGGCTTATTCTGGGATAGATACATCACCCAATTTGATATTCAAAGTACATTTGAATAAACTTGTAAATACAAAGAAGATTGACATTGCTGTTGACATTTACCAAGAAAGGGAGTAGATATTGTATTTATACTATACTGTACTATTTATTTACTCCTAGTTATACTATACCAAATTGGTATTCCATGATCACCTATATGCAATATGTATATAGCAAGACTTGTATCTCAGCATTTATGTACTAAATTGACACAGTATACAGTTTGTTATCAAGAAGTGACTTTCACTCATTATCTTCATTAGATAATTGTGATATGAAGTATGAAAATAATGAATGATTCTGAAATTTATGTCAATAATCAAATTATTTCAACTTTTATTTAATAAAAAATCTTTTCATCATGAATGGATGCTCCCAATGGATAAATTACAAATTTCTGCAAACAATTAAGTCCTGCATTATGGTAAGACCATGCACAGAAATTAAGGTAGGTTGACTAGAATGAGTAATCAAGTAAATAGCATGGAATTGTGTTACAAGTCATTACTCTTCTGCCCACCTTAAATTCTGCATGTTTGTAATTTCACAGTCAGGTTCTCATTGTCGACTTTAACAAAAACTCCTTAAAGTTAAGAATTCTATAAGTTCATTATTCTCTTACTTATAGTCATTATACCTATGAGTAGAAAAATGAATTTAAGAATACTTAACTTCATGAAGTTTGTTTGAATGACCCTCAAATTTATTCAATTTTTGAATGACTCATAAATACTGTAGATACACTTAATTTGACGCTACTTAATATGGAGGATTTGCTCAATTTCAAATATTGGCGGCTATTTTTGGCGGAGTCAGGATCTAGGACTGAGCTAAAGTTTTATCATAGATCTGAAAATAAACATTTCAGATTCATGTGTTCTGCTTTCGGGAAGTCTTAGTATAGCACTGGCATCCACTTGTGTTATAATAATAACACAAGTGCATTAATTGCAAATTACAAATTCTCTGGGGATTTTCCAAAATAGATCTGAAATTGGTGGATTTTTAATTTGGCGGATTTTTTCAATCTGCCAATCCGTCAAATCAAAACAGTAGCAAAATTAAGTGTATCTACAGAATGTCATCCTTGAAAATTATTCTAAAATTTTGATATGCACAAAGCATATCTATAACAAGTTATTTTAAATGTGGTTTAGCAGAGGTATATCTTTGAAAGTTCTAAAATGAGTTTAAGTTTTAGCTCTAATTTACCTGGGAAACCATGGTTAAAATATTCCTAAACCCTCGAAATAAAGTGAAATGATAATGTAAATTGTGAAATAATAACCGAGAGTGGCTGTAGAAATACTTATTTCAATTGCACATATCGTTCTTATATTATTAAATACTGCTTGATCATATAACAAATTAGAGTGTGTACTCCACCATAGCTCATATCAATATATCAATGGTATAGTAGATAGACCACGTTAATTCGATCTGGGAGCATGTCCGTATTATCCATCATGATTGGTCAACTCTTAATTGTTACATCCTCAGTGATTATTTTCAGCACTGAAATGACAGGGTGCTGTCTCTAGATGATTTTTTCAAAATTACATTGCACAGAAACTGAGAAGTCAGAGAAATGATGAAAAACATGAGTGTTTTGGACATTTCTTTGTCATAATTTGCAAAATAGTGTTTAATATCAAAAATAGTGGATCTGATCTGAGATAACTGGTTTTATATTTACTATAAATTAAAACTAAATTAATTGTGTGAATTGTACTCCTCCAGCTAATATTCCATAGAGGTCAAGGTCAACAGAAAAGCCTTATTTAACCCAGTCAGGATACCTAAATAGAAAGTTAACAATTTTTCTAGTTAAACAAAGATATCTAGATCTAGCAGATTGTAACTAATTATTGACCTTTCAAAATTATATCTGGAAATTGTACAGAAGTTGAGGTTACTAGTGAAGGATCTAATTTTGAAAGTACATCAATTGGAGATACAGTAAAACCTGTGTATATTGAACATTATTTGCCAAGAAAAATATTCAGTGTTGGAAGGTGTTCACGACAGTCAGTAGAGTATGTGCGGAGAGGAGGATGTCTATTAGAGACAGGTGCCTACTCGAGACAGCAGTGAGAGAGAGGTGTCCACTATAAAGAGGTGTTCACTAAGACAGGTTTTACTGTACATGTATCATGTTTTGTTAATCTGAGGAAAATATAAGGTAAAGCTAACTTAAGTCAGCGAACAACTATATTGACCAATCACATTTATCAAATTCTGTCAACGTTTTCTCTGATTGTGTATTATAACATCATGATGTGATGCACTCTCGAAACACTATGAACTGACTATGTATCATGTGACCAACTGTTAAAATTATTGACTGCCACATGGCCAATCAGAATCAAGTATACGAACTGAGGTAGTTGATTTTGTATACCTCAGATTAACCAATGAGAATGGAGAATTTGGATAAAGGTATAACAACACCTATGTAATACTATTTTGGCATTTAAGGAATGTAATTTAGAAATACAAATAAGAATTACCATTAATTATAAAGGGTTTTCATTCCAAATTATAAAAATAGTAAAAATCTTGAAATATACACTTACTTTTATCATGTGTAGTTTGAATTCTGTCTTGAAAATTGCCAAATATGTTGTTCCTGTTATTTGTACAATACACCAGTGTTCATTGTATGATACACCATTGTTTATTGTATGATACACCATTGCTTATTGTATGATACACCATTGGTCGAGCTGAAATTAAAAATATCATGATTTACTATAAGGCCAGGGTAATTAATTAAATGTTTAGCATACCCCTTGTTTCTATATGAAACTTCATTTAAATGAAGTCCATCAGAAATAAAAAGAAAAACACAATTCTAGAATCTTTAGTCCACAGTAATTTTGCATTTAGTTCTGAAGATATTGAACAGGTCAAGTTTGTTATTCTAAAAAACAATTATGCAAACATAGAACTTAATTACTGTTACTTATTTGTAAATACATGTAATGAACCAATAATTTAAGTCTCATTTCACTTTAAATGTACAAATGTGTAAATATATTAGATAAAAGTACATTTTTCATCTTCTCCATGATGAATGAATCTTGAACATTTTGATTTGACGGTCAATTCTCAGTTTTTGTACCATTCGTCACAATATGTAAATCATGAGTGTGTCAATTATTAAGACAGATTTGTCTAGAATTATTATTGTATTATAAATTACTATATAAGTTAATGTATAACTTATTATTTTGCATAAATAAATTTTATAAAACATTAAATCAAGTTTGTTGTCCTTGCTGTGATAAAGAGGGAACAAACGTCTTATCATATCCAAGCAAATAAGGATTGGCAATTTCCCATCCTCTGAACAGGGCTCAAGACACACGGGCTTGGCAGGGAGGTATGGTAGATCGCACCCCCCCCCCATCCCACAAAAAAAGAAAAAGTGATTTAATAAAATTTGTTGAAAAAACATTAACAAATTATACACCATATATAATATTTAAAAAAATTCTGGTTGTGAACCCCTGTACCCCTCTTTTTAGGACTTGCTTCGCTCGCATTGATGCAAACCCAAAAAATTACACCCTTTAACATTTGCTGGCTACGCCTCTGAGTAGCGGTGTCACGGATACCCGATTTCAACATTTCTTGCACAGAAAGAAGTTCATATTTTTACTCTTTCTTATTGAAGAGATTTACGCTTTCAGATAGACTTAGTTGATCAACATATTTTAAATCTAATAATCTGATTTTTTGTTTGTTCCGTGACACCTCTTCCCTTGAGATTACTTAGTTTGCACAAAGCTATCTCCTGAGAGATAGTTTTGCAAAAATGGATATTCCCAGCCCATGTTAAAGGTCTTTTGGAGAAATGTAAGAAATCGTTGGAACACTTACACTACTTCAATCGATGCATAACATCATAAAATATCGGTTTAATATTCGTAGAACGCTAATTGGAGTCGGGAGACAGTGCAATTGACGAAAAATGTTTTTGGAACTTGTGATTTTGTATGTCGTCTGACCAGGAAGTCTTGCCGTTGGCATGCGTTTAACCGGAAGCGGAAATCTCATGGCATGGACGCACATGCGCATTACCCACCTTCCTCAGAGGCCATCTTGAAAATTATCATCTCTTCAACATTTAAGGTTCAGCTGGAAAGTAACATTTTGGTAAAAAATTGCTATACCTGCACATGTTATTTTCTGGTACATAATTAAGTATGAAGGCATGTGTGTATTTCCTTGCTTTTTTCAGGAAAGTATCATTACACTGTCTACTTTTAGTAAACCTGGAAACAGGTCAATGGTAGCTCCTGTGTTGTCTGGAAACTTTGAAAGAAAATTTGGAAAAACAGGAAGTGTGAAATATCAGAATTCCCTGGAGTTCCCTTTGAACGCCCACCAGATATTCTAAAAGAAGACAATGTAATGATACTTTCCTGAAAAAAGCAAGGAAATTGATACATGCCTTCATACTTTATTTTGTACCAGAAAATAACATGTGCAGGTATAGCAATTTTTTACCAAAATGTTACTTTCCAGCTGTACCTTAATAACGTATGCCAAGGCCTCAGGACTGTCCAAAAGAGCTCGGTGTTCAGATTTCAATGATTTTATTTTTAACATGGAAATCTATCGCATAAGTGTTCACATTGAGAGGTGTTCAAATGAGAAGTGTTCTGCTTAATATCTACTGTGTTCAAGTGAAACCATAAAACATAGGATTTGATTTTGAAAATCCATGCATCATCAAATTGAAAAAAATTCAGAGAATTGTAATTTGTGCAACTTACCAGCCAGTTCATCATCACCTTTCCAAATCGTCTAAACGTTAATACAAATGGCACTTTGTCTCAGAAGAACGCAATTCCTTCATTTTCCTCCACTAATTAATGATGTAATTGTGCAAGAAAGAGGCATTCTCGAATTTTGCAGCACATGTCAAAGTTTCTTTCCTCCTTCACAGAAGAGTTCATTGAGCATGTATTATGTAAATTTCACAACTCTACGTACCTCCTGGAATTTTGGAGTCGGAGACGTATTCCCGGGGGGTATAACAGTATTTACTGTACAGGCTAATGTAACATACTAAGGCAGTCCCTCTTCCCACCCAATATACAAGGTTATGAAATTGAGAGAGTTTCACCTGAGTGTATTAAATAATGCATCAAGTCTTGGGCTGAATTCTTTTCCACATTTCAAAATATTTTTTATATAATCACGTAAAAGATAGGCAATCACTAAAAGAACATATTTTCAATGAAACTTTTTGCAAGGGTCAAGTTGGCAAAGCATCAATTTCAATCTGTAGAGTCAAGTTGTCATTTTGACAACCATTCAACGACTGACCTTGGGTGAGTTATTTGTTATATAATGAAGTGCAGTTATATGAAATACTGTATTCGGATTTGCTGGAATCAGACACACCTTGTCTAGGCTATGAGTGAATCTTGCTTCAAAAATCTTGACCCCACCCCCTTATCTGATTCACCAACTTTTGGAGAGGTGTGTAGTGGGATGGGGGGGGGGGGGGAGTCAGAAGGGCTTTGGCAAGACTAGGAAAATATATATGTACATGCTTTATACACATGTAATGCCTGGGTCACATTTGCTCCGATTCATTGGCCGGCGCCCAGTATTCAGTTTTGAACAGAATACTCAATCGGCCAATGAATCTGAGCAAATTTGACCCACACATTACTTATACAAGTTTTTGATACACACAAGTAATCCCATCATTATGGTAATAGTGAATAGGTTATCAGTCCCAAATGAGCAAACCCCCTAATGTGGAAAACAGGACTTCATTTCTTAGAAAGATATCAAGGAGGGGTAAAGAAGGAAAAGTTTCCTTTCACTTCATATTCCATTGTCTTGACTTCTCAAATTACAAAGACACAAAATTTCTACTCCACCATGAACATATTTTTCATTTAAGTGCCACCTAGGCTCTGAAAAGCTCATAATCAGCCATGCTCCGATATCTAAAATCAACAAATCAACGACAATGTTTTGCTAGTTTACTTCTTTATTTTTATTGCAATAGCACTTAAAGGTAATATTTACAAGTATTTCACATAACCCATGTAACCCTGCTAATATCCAAGCTCCTTGGGTTTCACATATTCATTATTCACAATATACTTTTCTTGCTATAAATGTTGAAACATTAGCAAGAATTTATTTCCATTAAGTTTTCATTAAATGACACACCACATATCACATGACAAGCCAAATGTCACATTATTTGAACGAACAATAATTATTATGAACTTTCTTGGGACAAAAGTACACTTTTTCTCATAAAATTAGTTTAAATTACAATAGATACTTTTTTTATATGAGGATATGAAGTATAACATAGAATAAAATATCAAGAAACATGTATTTAGACCATTAATTTCTTTACTATTTTCAGTCGCAAACATTGTTAAACCACGTACCAATCTTTTTGCGCCAATATACTGTATTTACATCCATCAATACAATATTTACAAATTAATAAAAAAAATGTTTACAACTTTTTAATAATAGTACATAATGTCAATATCAAATATTCTCTCATGCTATATTTACAAAATAGCAATGTGATGCCTCCATTATTTAACAGCTGATAACTACCTAATTGTCTATATTTTTGTTTGCTTTGTCCCAGACTGAGTAGTGTTTATCTAATAATAGTATATAAAAACTCTATTCTGTCATTTTTAATATTTCTTGTTATTTTCACTGTAGTGATGAATAAATATCTATTATAAATATAATTTTTGTGTTTAATTATCTTGTTTTGGGTTGCACTTATACAGTCTTATATAATATATACATACCATGTAACATATGCATGATCGTGAAAAAGCCCTAAAATTCTACAAACAGCCTACATTTAATATTGCAATACCAAAAGCCTCTTCAGTAAAGGGCAGTCTACAATTCTTGGAACATAGCAAGAAAATAATTTTTCCACTTGATTTGTGAGTGAAAAGAAAATTAAACTTGCAGGGGAAAAACAAAGTAAATCTTTGTGGCACATTTATCTTGCATTGGAGCATCATGGTCATCCCCACATCACCTTACATCCCCACAACCTTGTTTTGGGGGAAGGGGGATGAACAAGGACAAGACTAATGGTGGGTGATAAATACTTTTGCATCAATTGAAAATAGCCATGATCAGTCAATTCAACATATAGTTTTCACTCAACAAAAACGCGAGATTGAAATTTGTCCATCTAAAAATGACACAAAATGGATAATTTGGCTACTTCTACACAAAGCAGATAGCTCAAAAGAAATACCCAAACTTACGATTTTTATCAATCTATATTACAAAAAATGTATTCTTTTAGTCTCAACTTAATTTTGGCTTATTGGAAAAATATAAAATTGCACGGGTCATTAATACAATACTGATATCTTTTTTATATGAGATCACATTACAAAGCATGCACCTGCAATTTTACCAATTCATGTACAGTATGGAGCCAATATTTCGGTGCCAATTCTTAAGAACAAGGTCAATCATTTAACGTTCTTCCAAAATGTATGTTTGTGGGTGACAAAAAAACTGACCTTGTCCTCAGCAAGAAAGTGTATGACGTTTTGTCCAATACGTTTTTGAATACATCGATTCAAACATGTCTTCAAATTTCTTAGATACGAAAGTCTCATATCCAGGAACTGGACAAAGTATCATCGGCAAGATTGTACTAACTAAGCCACTACATTTTAAAAGGACAATAGTCCAAACTCCCATTTAGGGGAAATTCCCCGAAGCAAAGCAAGCATTTATTCCAACCCTATAGTCCATAGTATCCATCTCCCAAATTGCTGATGTGCTACAAGGTTAAATGTCTCAATGGATATTTAGAAAGTGTTAAAATGCATGGTATTCCACATTAAATGGGAAACCAAAATATTTTCTTTTTCGTATATCCTTAACACTTCTGTGCGAAACAACTTGGTAATGAAGTTTAAATCATTCAGGTACATATCATTCTCGAAGGAACAGTATGTATGGTGAATGAAGTCTATCATTATGATCTAAGGATACCAGATTATTGTAAGCTGCTATGGCAACTCTGAAGCAATGCTATCCTTAAAGTTTCTGTTCATAGTTCTAGATTTGAAAATCCAAAATCGATTCTTGCTCGAACAATAATATCTGAAGTAAATCCCTATGATGTGATGATATCAAGAGTATCGCTGTTGTTATGGCAACCTTAGCTTTCTGTTCATAGTTCTAGGACTCCAAATAATTTCCTGCACCACATCACAGCAGGATTAGGTGGTCTGTCATTGTTTTGAGCTCTGCACAACTCATTGTTCTCCTTCAGTTTGTTGTATGCCATCTGATACTCCATGTCAAATGCATCTGGAAAATTCAAAAAGTGTTATAAAAGCAATGCTGTTTCAGTTCAATTACGTTGGGGTCTTTATTGAGGTACATATGGAATATGGGAAAATCTCCAGTAAAACTTCTATAAGGTGAAGACTTTTGAGACCCAGGAGAATATGACATAAGAAAAATAGCAATGGGGTCTGTGAAGTGTTCATGTAATGGAGGTGTTCACCTATAAGGGATGTTCAAGGTTTTTCTGCACTGTATTGAGTTTACAAAAGAATGCCTCGCTAGCTATCCACAACATGGAAGTACATGTATCTATATGTACAATTTGTTGCCAAAGATATGGAAACTTTGAAATTTCCTTAGAATTTCTGACAACAGGCAAAATATTGGAAATTATGATTTTAACATGGAAACAACAAGCAATTTAGTTAAAAACAACTGTAAAAAATCCTTCGTTGCCTGCTAACCCCTGTGACTGTGAGACTGTGCCTGCCACTTACCATGATCAATATTGTCTTTGCCGCATGCAATTAATGAGAGGAACAGCACGTCTCTGTATATGCTGCGGAACAGCCATTTATTGTAAGGCTGGTGCTTCAGGGCCCTTCGTCTCTCACTCATCAAGACTTTGATAGGTGTCTGTACATCATTACACTGAATGCTTGCGACAATATTCTGCATGACGCTGGAAGTATAATGAATTGGAGTTTAAACATTTTGGACTGACTACCTTACTTAGCTTTTACCTCACACAGTGATACATATGGCACTGTAAGGAGCAATATGGCCGCCAGTACTTTTACCCAGAATGCTCACAACCTGATCAGATTGTGGCACTAGTCTGCTCTTGCAACTGTAAAAATTTCAAGTTGAACGGATAGAATTGAATTCCTTAAGTGAGGTATACAAAGAACAAGTTCCTACATTTATGTCATGGCTCTATATATAGACAAAAGGCACACTAAACCAGGATCAATCCTTTTGGGTAATTTGGTATATTTCTCATTTTTTGTTTTATCCTTGATTTTTTTAAAGGACATAATTCTCAAAAGCAACAGCAATGATATGTTGACAGCCTTGAGCTGTTAGATTGACAAAATGTGTCACATGCATTAAGGGGGGTATCTTCCTTGTGATAAATTCAAGGTTAGCACACATTCGGCATGTGACATCCAACGTGGATTGTTTGCCTCCCTGTTTCTCTATCTTACTTTATCTTTAGCTATCTCATACAAAGATAAAGATCTGATTATTTCTATATGGGCACCCAATGGTGAAAGCAACAAGGTGCTGAGAATGATTTTCAAACATTCATTTACAATATTGGTTTTTCAAAAACACAGGGACTGAAATATGATACTGTCCAAAAATGTTCGTTTCAAATGAAACAATTTAAAACATTCCATTTTAATTGTTGCCTTATATTTTTCTATGTATTTTTTCTTCTAAGAGGAAGGAACATTTGAATTTCCTTATATGCAAGATGTTTCTACCCCACTGGAACCCCTTATTATGTACCATAGTATTAAGTTACTGGCTACAGATCACACAAGCCACTGGTTAGTCACTCACTGGTCAGACAATATGTTGACAAAATTGCTTTTGATCCTGGGAGCATTTGTGGTAAGATATAATAATAAATAAATAATAAAAATAATTAAATAATAGAAATTAAGTTGATAATGTCTTTTCATTAGTTTTAATTTTCAACAAAAAGCAATTTAATGATAAGTTTTAAATTATATTGATTCTCTTTAATTTTTACAGCTTACAGTGAATGCAAGATCAGGTAAGATTTTAAATACATCTGAATTGCAATATGTTGGAATATTAAAGATGGAGTAATAAAAATGGCAGAACATGTCTCTAAATGTCTATAAAGTACACATAGTATTTCATTAATCTTGAGGCAACAAAAGCTTTATGAAATCATAATACTGCGCGTGTAACATATTTTATTTCTTTACTTTTAGTTTCTAAAAGACCACTTGGTAATGATATCCGGCGTTCATACAAGGTAATTTGTACAAAAGTCTTCACAATTTCATATTATCTTAGTTCAAATGACTGTTATTCCTCGTGAGGTTAAAGGGCAATTAGTTGTAATTTTTATATTAATTGATAATGAGATGTAATTTACAAAATCAATAGATTAGATAAAAAGCCTTATCTGAAATTACTGAAGCTTGAAAAAATGTCCATGGACCATGTTGTAAAAGTTTTGCACAATTTTCTCTGAAAATCTTCATGAATTTAACTGATATTTGGTTTTGAGCTTGGTCTTTATTTACTTCTATCTAAATATCTGTTCAAATTCAAATGGCCATTTGCATTGCACATGTAGTATGTTTGATATACAACTGTAGTTTGCCAAACGTGAATGTATAAATGAAATTTCTCATGTTATTATATGTACAAGATATCATTCTATGTTACAGTATGGTGCCACACCTGACAAAAGTTTGCTTTGGCCTGGTAGGACTGTCCCATATGTCATAGGATCGGCACTCAGTAAGTTTGAAGAACTTTAAAAGCATGGGCTTTCGAATGCCCATGTTAAAAGTGAGGAACAATGATAAATCTCAGTATGTTAAAATTATGACATGTTTGTTATAATATAATGTAATAATGTGTGTATATAATAAAATTGAATGAGAATAGAGTTGGATTACCAAAATTAAGTTCTCAGAAGGATGGTTCATTTTTTAAAACTATAATAACATTTCTTTTATCCTTTGTAATAAATGTTATGTATTTGTGAAATAAATAAATAGACCTTGATAAAAATGAAAATATTTAATTCAATTGTTTTTGGAATGAACTAAGGAATGTTAAAAAATGCAAAACGATTACAGGAGGCAGTGAGAGAAGGCTAATCCAGAAGACCATAGCCGAGTTCAATCGCTTAAGCTGTATGAAGTGGGTGCCCAGGAAATCAGAGAAATACTACGTCAAATTCAAAGCCCTTGAGGATGAGGGGTGAGATTTTTTATAAGAGATACTGTTCACATTGACATTTGATCCATAAGTGGTACCATAATGATTGCTAGGAGATATGAACTTTTCTCTAAAATAAAGTTACATTTCTAAGACACTTTCTCCAAAACTACACATTTTATTATTCTCCTGCAGGTGCTATTCTGAACTCGGGTTTGTAAGGGAAAGAGGACAAGAGATCAATTTGGAAGACGGCTGTGTATACAGAGAGACTATCCTACATGAGATTATGCATGCCATGGGATTTGAACATGAACATCAGAGAATGGACAGAGACAAATATGTCAAGATTTACTGGGAAAATATAGAAGCAGGTCTGTAGCTTTATTTTCTGATGTTTCACTTTTTTAAAAAGATTTTATGCTCCTTTCTCAGTAACTGAATATGTCATATAAATTACATATCGTCTAACTTGAAAGTCAATAGCTGATCAAAAAAATTATCAAAAAATTATCATTTATCACAATGTAGGTAAGAGAGATAAGAGTGGAATTCAACTGAAATGACAATTATTCTGGAATCTATACTAGTATAACTTTAACTACATGTATTTGTTTAGATTCAAGAGACCAGTTTGACAAGTTGGAGAGTGACTACCTGAACACCAACTATGACTATGGCTCAGTCATGCATTACGAGAACGATGCATTCACTAGGAATGGCCGTATAACAATGTCAGCTAAAATGAAAGGCGTAAGGTTTGGTGAAGCTCCAACACTTTCTAAAACAGATATTGTACGCTTGAATAGATTGTACAAGTGCTGAACTGAACTGAAGTGGATGAAATAAATTGCTGAAAATGGTTTTGAAACTTAAGTTTTTTGGTGATATATCTCCTCGAGAAAGGTCAATAGTAGAAAACATTATCAAACCAAAACCAAGAAAAAGAAACAAGACACATAAAGGTAAAAAATCTCACTTTGATAAACAAAATGGAGATTTTTTATCTAACAGTATGGACACTATTAATCTAACCACCATGCCCAATCTTGGCACTAGTCTTCTCTTGCATCTGTAAAAATTTGAATTTGAACAGGGAAGCAATTTTCCTGGAATTTTGAGGACAAAATTTATGTGATGCACACCCAGATTCACACACAACTGAATCGGCCCACGACAACAAAAATAGCACCTTGAAAAAGTGTGATAAGTTTGTTACCTCTTAGAGAAAACCTGGTTTTCAGTGACCAGAGCTGCGTTAGTATTTTGACTCTGTGTATCACTCCACATTGTATAGAGTGGCCTGCCAGCCTCCTCATGGTGTCTTGTGTTATCCCAGCCTGGCCTCAACAACACATACTTGCTGTCTGTGATCTTCTCCCACACTTTAGGAACACTCTTAGTGCCTGTATTGGTACTCTTAGCTGATATTATGAAACCTGGCAAATGGCTGGGGATCTCTAGTCTTCTAAAGTACCACACCTTTACACAGAACAATACAATTTAATAGAAAAGTTTGGAGTGTTTAACCATACCTGTTTTCTAATTACAAACACTGAGGTCAGGATTTTGATGATGTCACAATGGTATGTTGGGTCAAATAAAAGATTCTCATCTTCAAAATAGACTTTTCAGCTCAAAGTTAAGTAGTTAAAGTATCCCATTGAAGTTATATTCATCATTATCCTCTATAGCTCAATAAATAAACACCACTCCAATACAGTCAGTCGCATCTACATAGACATCATATTTTTTCTCAAATCTACCTGCTTAACACAGGTAGCTTACAGAAAGTTTTGCCTCGATTTTGAAAACTAAAATAGAACTATTTCCAATATTTCAATAGAGGACTTCGAATTATACATTAATAAATAGATGGCAGTAGTTGTCTTGGTTGGGCTGGAGTGCCGTCAATTTATATGGAGAAAACTGATAATATTGCATCATTTATTTCACCAAATGTTTCAAATTGAATTAATGTAAACTTCCTTGGTGTGTTAACAACTTGTGATTTAACTGTATCAAATTACATTTTAGTTAAAGCAAAGCTGGTGACAGATATTTCTGCATGATACTATCTTAAAACATAAGCTATGTCCAACATACCAGATTCCAGAAGATGATAGGGTGTTCATCACAGAAGTCAGCTTTGTTGAGACATTTGTCCCCCTCTTGCTCTAGAATATTCTCCACTTCTTTCCTGAGTACAAGAGGACTCAAGTACGGCACCCTGATAGGATCAACCTTAGCCACACTGAAATACATAATATTACTATTGGTTCACAAAAAACATGCATATCAATAAACCTTGGGTATATGCACTTAAATGAATACAAAAATGTCTGGTAATTTGATTTAAATCATTTCATTTTAGCTTTAGAAGGTTGACTTTTACAATACCTGTCTATGTCATCTTTCCCTCCACTGTCAGCCTTTGAGTCTGTACCATCATCAAACTCATCAACTGCATCATCTTCCTTAAGCTTCAGGTATTCTTCCTCAATTACATCACTGGCTGTAGGTGCCACAGGCTCCTCTTGTTGATCAACAGTTTCTGCTACTTCTATGGGGTCCTTTTGGGCTTCTTGTAAGGGGTCCGTGGATGTTTTGGCAGGTGGTAGATCAGTATTTTGTACTTGAGAATCAATGGAAGTATCTGCTTCAGTTGGGATTACAACCTCAGGACTTTCATTTCTGCTTGAATGAGCTTCAATCATAATACCTAGACTTTCTTCCCTACTCCCATGAGAATCAGTCACAGATGCAGGACTTTCCTCCCTGGTTGAGTCAATAGTCCTCTTAGCATGCTCAACAACTGATTTGTTTGTTATGTTCTCAGACTTTTTGTTATCACTATTGGCTAGCACATTACTGTCTGATTGAGCTTGTTTAATATTTTTACTCTCCAAACTGGAGTTTACTAAATTATCCGTGCTAGTTAGAGAAGTCACACTTTTATTAATGAGGGCTTGTTTATCCCTCAAAGCTAAAGTTGGATTGCTCATACTATGCGCTGCGCTACGTTTCAGTTCTAGGTTTAACCCGATTCTGTTTGTAGGCAAAGAGTTAATGGAATGGAGGCTCTGCATGCTTTCGGACAATTTCAGAGGTTGGTTCACGTGGCGGAGATCTTTTAGATAAACATGGAGGAACGGGACCAGTTTTGAAGAACAGAACTGACAACTGAAAAAGATATGGGTCTTATAAGTACAGCTAAACAAAATGAAATGTAGAAACCATAGTCATAGTTTATGAAGATAGAGAATCAAATCATACACTAAAGGCTTGTGTGAAAATCATTCAACCTCTCAAAACACGGAAATCATCACATTTGTCTTAATCGAAGCAAACTTTTCTTGAGGTGCACTGAACATCAACACTTATCAAATTCGTTTCTTGTAAATATCAAATTGTGTTCATCTATATGAACTATGTGATTGACCATTCTACCAATAAGTACCATAAAGATAACATATTTATATTCAAAAAGGTATGAACACTAAATTGGTACTGATTTGGCTCCAGATGCTCCGTTAGCCTGATGGATCATCCTGAATTTATACAATGAGCTAAATTAGTATGGCAAAGTGGAATTTTAATTACAGCACCACATATTTGAGACAGAGACTCACCAAGTGTTGAGGTCAGAATCATTAGCCGACCACCCTGCCATAATTTCCTCATCATACAACAAGGAATTACAGCTATTACATCGGGTCATGCTCTGAATCTCAACGTCAAACGCCACGTTGAATATCGACTGTTGAAGGCTGTGGAAGCTGTTTTGGCGAGAAAGATTATCAAAATCCTTCAGTGGCATGAATGACTCTAAGGCACTTGGTTCTACACCTGGAAAGATGACGATATAATTCAGTTCTTGTAGCATGAGCCATATTTGAAATATGGACCATGAGCCGTATTCTAAATATGGCACAGATTCATTACTTGGGTCTTTAGCTTTCTGCTCCATGTATCTGTATTGATAACCCCATTATCTGAAATAGTGTTTTTTTTTATTCCACATTGTGAATAATTTTGGATTTTATTCATTTCAAAAGCTTTTAAGTGGCAGATCAAATTAGGTATTTACTTAGGTGTGACTTTGTTTGCCATAATATAATTTGGATTTGCCAACACGTATCCAGTTATTGCTAAAACCAAATTGAAACTGAAATTGTTTCACACAAATCTATATCCACAGTGAATGGTGCTCAAATCTTATAATGAGATACACAGAGGTATGTTTCTTTGAATTATATTGTTTTAAAGGGTAAAATTAATTTCATATTAAACAGGGTTGTCAATACAGATACTTCTGATAGCTAGAGACTCATTTAAAAGATTAATAGTTTAGTCTATGAACAGTATTACAATAGCACAATAACAACCAACAATTAAATCAACAAACCAAATTCAAATTAACTATAAACACAAATGTTAGAAAAAGACTAGAAGAAAATTAAAGTGCAGTGAAATATTTGCAAAAAAAGGAAAGATAGATATGAAATTCTATGTAGTTTTGGAAGTTTGGAGTTTTAAACAACCTTGAAGATCAATTGATTTATCATCCTGCTCTTCCTCTTCATTAATGGACTGTCCCAACATGGCCGCCATGTTCTCATCCTCCTCAACAATGGACTCTTCCACATGGTGCTGCTGCTGCCCTCTTTTAGCAGCAGCAAAAACATTTCCCCCAGCCCCAAACATTCCCCATGGCAGAGTCCAGATGTCATTCCAGTCTACAAGACACATATACTACATAGTACCAACACACTAGAAGGTAAAGAGGTGATGTTTTCACTGTTTTTCATGAAACTTGAGGGCAAAATGCAAGTGCATGTATTATCATTGGTGTCTAATAAAACTGGAAAATGATTTCCTCTAAATGTGAAAATAAGATTTATTTTGATGATATAAAAGAAGCTTATCAGATTTGGCAATGAATTTGATTCAAAAAGGATATCAAAAAATTCACTGAGTAACATGGTTATATTATGTGAGGTACTCAAAGTATATCATAAGCATTTTCATATGTTCATGAAAAACAGTGAAAACAATGCATATTAAAAGATAACACACCTTGGAATTATCTAATTAGTCAAATCAAAATGTCATTGTTTTTTCTCTGCAAGAGCAATTAAACAAAGTCCCTCAACATTTCCTCTGCATTAATGGCTTATATTGGCCAGTGATCTCCCCAGGATTTCTGTACATGGTGCTAAATACTGATTTAACCGGTTTTGGTCAAAATATCTGAATATTTCAGCCTCATGGCAGGGTGCAAACATAATTTCAATGGCATAGCATGTGATTTTCAGATTCAGGAAGGGGTGGCTTGTAATTTTCATATTTTCCACAGAATGTAATACCAAGTTGCTCTAAGGCTTGAGGATGGCTAGGTAAAGGTTTGACATGGTTGCCCATTTGAATTTCATTGTTTTTGCTTCATATAGGCAGACATATACCTCCCCAAAAATGCAATTACTTTAGTGTAAATGACAAATTGACATTTTGACTTGAACTTTTAGATTGTGAAAATAAAAAAACAATAAATACAACTAGACACTATCCAACTAATAGTGAAGTTACTATTATAAGGCATTAGAAAGGTTAAGCTACAAATTTTTATGAGAACTTGTATGTGGTAACTGTACCCCTGTCAATTGGCTTTTCCAATGACCTAACAAGCATGTATGGTACATGTATGTACAACTTTTTTTCCAAATACACTGTACCTTTATACTTAACAGACAAGTAAATATAGAAGGGGAGAACTAATAATCCATAGAAACGAGTTCTCTTTAAAATTTGTAGCTTAACCTTCCTATTATCCTTAGTGAAGTTATCCTCAAATGTTTCTATTTTAACCCCAAGCCTTAAATAGTTTAAAGAAACCTATAGTAATATGTACCAATCTGAGAAATCATTGCTAACTCAAATCAGCAAAAAAGATAACAACATCAACTTCCCAAATTTTGTAGATCTCGAATTGGTATATATTCAATTGGTATATATTCAATTCGAAATATTTCATTTTCCCTTACATATTTTAGTCATTTAAAGATTTTGCAATTTTTTGATTTATTCATAAAGATTTTTCAAATAACACACAGGCAAAGTAGCCTGGTGTTTATCAATAAACAATATATTGGTAAAAATTCATTGATTAAAATGTAATTCTCACATCTAATTAAATTATTAACAAATGTTAGTAGAACATTAGCGAGAAAGAGTGAGAGTTGGAAAAGGAACATGTGATTAAAATGCAAACTTTGACAGCCATGTGCAATTTAACATGTACACAATAATAATTAAATAAATATCATATTTACAGAAAACAACACAGAATAAACACTGATGCCAACTTAAGGTAGTTGATTACTGGCAGTAGGGGGGTCCATGTTATAGCAAAGGAGCAATGATTTGACGAGTGTTCAGCTTTGGGACATATAAATCTAGTTTTTAGGCCTCCAAGTAAACAACTACCTTAATACAACAAATTATTCAATGATTTGCCCATGTGCCAAAATATGAATGAATATATCCTGCATTTTCACACCATGTAATACAGAATCTATTTTACATTCTAACAACAATTTAACACATGCTTTGACATTTAAAACATAAAACATCACTTTCTGTTGTCAAAACATTCAAAATGTTTTTTGCTCCTATTTGACACATATGCTTTTTGTGTTGCTTTCTCATGCTGTTCTCTATCAACACAACCATTTGATAATAAAAGAATGAAAGGGCAGTTCAACTTACCAAAAGGGGCCGCAGGTTTGCCTGAAGCAAAGGAGTCCATTGAGTCTGTGTCTGGCTCCCTTGGATCATTGAAGCTCTCACCCCTTCCCAAATAATCCAAACTGTCTCCTTTCTTGATATTCAGACTGACATTGTCCCCATCAAAAGAAACATTGTCCCCTCTGTCGCTGCTCCTGGACAGAGAGTTCAAACTATCGGACCTGGTTGGTGTATTCGTTTGCAATGTTTCCTTTAATTCATTGATCTTTTTAGTTGCTTTACTCCAGCCAAATTTTAAAGCATTGGTAAAAGATTCACTTTTAGGGACATATTTTTTCACTGGGGAATCTGTTACGGATGTATCAGTGTTAGGAGTGGATTCAGTTGTAGGGGGAGGGGGTTGCTGTTGCCCTATGGGAGTCCATTCGGGGGCGGGACTTAAGCTACCCACGCTGCTTAACGTGTCAGATTTCTCACTTTCAGTTCGTCTTTTACCTGCCGGGTCAGGTGTTTCACTTATAGCCCTTAGTCTATTAGGGATATCCCAAATGAAAGATGATCCTTTGGAAGTATCACTTGCGTCAGCATCTGGAGTTACAGGGTCGGGACCGCCATCTATATCATCAAGGGTGCGACTCCGACCTCCAAATGGCTGAAGTTCAGAAAGAGTTTGTAAGTGTTGTTTTGTTGGTGATGAAAGTGTGGATGTCACCGGGGAGGACTTGTGGCTCCCTCTTTCAGATAATGAGTCGGCTGCAAGGTCAGTTGAGCTGGAAGTGGATGAACTGGAAGCAAGAGTCACAGTCGTGGTTACTGCTACATTACTGGACAAAGGATCATTTACTGCATTACTGGACAAAGGGTCACTATTTATAGTAGGACTACTTAATGGATCCACAAATACACCAAGAGGGTCATTTTCAGTGACTGGGGTCATTTGAATTGGGCTCTCTACTGCGCCATCTTTCTTTGACTCCCCAGGGGTGCTGAGAGGTATCTCAGTTGGTCGCACTGTTGTACTAGTGTCAATACTGGAATGGGTTTCAGGAGTGTTAACAGAAAAAGATGTTGGTGTCTTTTGATCGTCTAAATTATGGCACTCGGGACCACTAGTGGCCTCTATTGGTGAAAGAGGCGTTAACAAAGGTTGTGTGTCTCCACCCCCAGAAGTTGTGGAAAGTTTAGCAGGACTAGAACTATTGCGGGGCCGACCATCAAAATCAGCGTTTACATAACCACCTGTGTCCAACATTGTCCCCTTTTGCATAGGTTCATTAGAGTTCAGTTCATTCACCCAATCAGAATCTTTCTTAAACTGATCAGTTCCTAGTTTGTCATTGTCTATTACAGCATCACCACTCTGGTGACGATTATTACAAGTTCCATCGGAAGAACTTCGATGATGTTCGGCACTTTTATGACGTCGTCGATCAGTGTCCAATAAGTTTTTATCACCATCTGGTCCTGGAATATTCAGGCTGCTGGCCAGCTTCACAGAGTTCGAATCAATAAAGACATTCTCGTCAGCTTGACTACTTGTAATCAACAATCCAGCGGAACTGCCAACTAAAAGCAAAGGTAACACATGCAGAAAGCAAGTCAACTCGTCCAACACAAGGGGAACATAACAAATTGGACAGCAAGATTCATTTGCAAAACCTTTCATGCTTGCCATACTTTCAATGAATAGCATGAGCATGCGGAACGATGAAGGATTTGTGCAATGGAATTTGGGGAATTGTTATTCAATAGTCTATATTACATAGTGAGGAGGTATACCCTATACTGTTAACAGTAGTAATCATATTGTTCACTTCATATTGTTGCCCCTTTATTACAGGTCATATTACACTATCCTCATCAATTCACTGCCCTCTTGACAGATCATCTAACATTTCGGAACTAACCAATCAGAGAGTAATGCATATGCATTTTACCTCATATGGTAACATGATTGAGACCCATCTTTCATATAAGGAACAGACTGTTTGACAGTGGTTAAAAGGTTCATCATATTTGCAGAGTGTAGAAGTAAATAACATGTGAAAAGGGTTTGTAATGCAGAGTATAGAATGTTATCAGTCTTGCAAAGGGTACTCACCACCCTCACCCAGACTTGCTCTTAAAGTCCCAGTACTGCTTGTGCTACCTGTATTCCTGGTGGCACCATTAGTGCTTCCATTCTTAACAATACTGCCAAACCTGGCTCTCCAATCCTCTGCTGGGTCTATTGCACTTAAGTTCTCCTTGCTCCCTGAACTGATACTACTCTTATCTGGAATAGAATTAAGGCATTCATTAATTCATCTTTTTGTATATCAAATAGCTAATACATTACATCATGCTTGAAATGCATTCAAGTGTGACTTTATTAATGAAAATGAAACCTATTGGTGCATTTACATGTTTAAAATAAATGTTTTCTTAGTACAGAAGGTGATTTTTTGTTTAAAAACAAAATATATTGACATTTTCCCGACAAAGAAATACATGTAAATATATGTCAATAGTCTCGTGCATGGAAAGTGCCTGTTCAACAAATCATAATGTAGAAATCAATCTACTTGAAATACTGACCCATTGAGGAGGATTTCTTTTTCCCTGACCAAAACCTCATCCTGTGTTTCCTTGGAGTGACCCCCTTGGGCTCCTTAAACACATGCTCATCTTTCTTCTCTGGTTTCACCTCAACAGGGGGTGTACTCTCACCCTCTGGTGCATCCACCTTATCAGGGACTGTTGATGCTGTTTCGGTGTATGCAATCTCTGTTGTTGCATTGTTTTCAGTAGTTAACAGAGAAACCTGAGGGGCAGAGTCAGGAGTTGGTTCAATACCCCCAGGGAGGGCATCAAGGGTTTTGGCAGCCACTAGAGTCTGTTTGATGTGCTTGGCCTCTTCCCATGTCATAGAGCTGTATCCCCTGTCAGAAGCACCTCCTACAAGCCAAGGGTTCATGGTGAATATTTTATTCATGGCTGAGTGGTTATATATTCAAAAAATGTGGTAAAAGTTTAGATGATAGTACAACAAAATTCCTGATGAAAATATTCAATAACAGATTGGAATAATTTTTTTGAAACTGCTCTTTCATACAAACACAAAGAAAGCATTGGAACTTCATAATGAGAACATCAGAAAGAAAAAATGCAGATAAAATCTAATTCTACAAAATAAAACAGGAAACCAAGATGCATACCGAGGCTTGTTATACTGGTCCCTTCTTCTTTGTGCACTGTATCAACTGGCGATGTTCCCATAGCAGCATCTGGTTTTGTAGCACCATCTATTTTATCACTTCCTGTTCCACTTCCTGTCCCAGAATCCACCTTGTCACTGCAGACGTCATCTAGGAAACTATCAACACTGGCCCGACTAATTCCATCAAGGTCACTTTCTGAGAGTGAGGCTATGCTCCGTCTGCGGAGAGCTCTCTTAAACTGAGCAACTCCCATTATGAGGTTTCGTACTTTGGTCCACAGTTGGTATGCATTTGTTTCTTTAGACGGCCACTTACTTTCAAGTACAGCCTGTAAAATATGACCTGATTTAATGAACGGAAACTACATGCGACATTTCTATATGCATTGGTGGTCTTTTTGTCATAACATTTTATTCTGACAAACATTTTTTTATCTTTATTTCTTTTTTGTTGAAATGATTCAGACATAATTCTTTAATATTTCAAAAGACCATTGTTGTTTATTGTATGTAGCTGTTTGCGTCATACCTTATTATAAAAGCCGTATGTAATAGCATTTGGTTGGATTCCATGTCTTTTCATTTCAAATAGCACCTTGACAGCTAGCACTGGTTGATGGTAATGGCCACATAACTGCATCAGTACTCGATAGCACACCTATAATACAATCAACATGTTAGATTATATACTCGATAGCACACCTATAATACAATCAACATGTTAGATTATATACTCGATAGCACACCTATAATACAATCAACATGTTAGATTATATACAAGATAGCACACCTATAATACAATCAACATGTTAGATTATATACTCGATAGCACACCTATAATACAATCAACATGTTAGATTATATACTCGATAGCACACCTATAATACAATCAACATGTTAGATTATATACTCGATAGCACACCTATAATACAATCAACATGTTAGATTATATACAAGATAGCACACCTATAATACAATCAACATGTTAGATTATATACTCGATAGCACACCTATAATACAATCAACATGTTAGATTATATACTCGATAGCACACCTATAATACAATCAACATGTTAGATTATATACTCGATAGCACACCTATAATACAATCAACATGTTAGATTATATACTCGATAGCACACCTATAATACAATCAACATGTTAGATTATATACTCGATAGCACACCTATAATACAATCAACATGTTAGATTATATACTCGATAGCACACCTATAATACAATCAACATGTTAGATTATATACAAGATAGCACACCTATAATACAATCAACATGTTAGATTATATACTCGATAGCACACCTATAATACAATCAACATGTTAGATTATATACTCGATAGCACACCTATAATACAATCAACATGTTACATTATATACAAGATAGCACACCTATAATACAATCAACATGTTAGATTATATACTCGATAGCACACCTATAATACAATCAACATGTTACATTATAAACTCGATAGCACACCTATAATACAATGTTAGAATATATACTGTACTCCTGAGGTATCAGTAATGAAAATATATCGAGATATTGAAGAATCAAGCACATTTAGTTATTACATACACAATTCAATTCTCCTGTAAGGGAATCAATGATATGTGTTTTAAAACAAAAATTAATGTACTGGTGAATAAGCAATGAAAAATAATATCTTCTGAACAAGATTTATGTAATACCCACACAGCTCATCAGCACAAGAGATCAAGTGTGATAAAACGTTTACCTCATCAGGGACCTGCAGCCTCGAGGCTTGCATCCTGACAAGGACATGGTAGGCAGTCCTCAGAGCCTTCGTCTTGGAATGTACAGATTTTACATAGGCTGGTAGGTGTATGAACCATAGGCTATAACAGTGGCCTAGCAGACACTTGGCCCACAACATTGGAGTTCCTGACTGCTTCAATGCAACCTAAAGTAATAACAGCAATATGTCGAGCTATAACAATATCATATGCTTAAGTTCACTGACCCAAATATCCAATATACGAGGGCTGATCATAAAGTTCTCATAATATCTCTCTAATTTCTTTATTTTTCAATATTTTCCTATGAAAGGACGATTCTCGGTTTGGAGAACGAAGTTCATCAATATAAATGAGCATTATCCCTGCTTCGGACAAATTAGATTTTTTTACATAATATAGAGTTGAAGGTCTTCTTGTGAATGGTCATAATTTAATTTGGGTAATATTTCTAGATTTTTCGCAAAAAAAATATTAGCGCAGTACACTTATGAACTTTTTTCCCCAAATCGAGACTTGTATTTTATTGAATCGGTCTAATTGATCGTTATCCCTGCTTCAGACCAATTTGTTATTTTTACATCTTGTAGATTTAAATGTCCTCTTTTGAATATTCATAGTTTAATTTGGGTAATATTTCTATATTTTTCATGAAAAAAATTATTAGCCCAGGAGACTGTTCTCCAAACCGAGAATCGTCCTTTTCACAGAATGTGCAGTATGGAATGGTTTATTAATCCAGCAAACAATATTTAGAATAACGGAAACATTAAATAAGAAATGGTTGCCATAGTAACTTGAAATCAAGGCACCCGGGGCAAATAAAAAATGAGCTAGAATAGCCCCCATTAACCATGTTTAAATACATAATATGTTGTCAAATAAGCTATCAAACACATTAAATTGTCAAATAATATGTGCTCTTGACTGTTGTGAACTATTATAATGGTCATGTGAATTGTGTGATCTCATAATGGATGATTGTTATGCTTCATTAGAAGTGACTGTTAGACCCCAGGACTGTTTTGTCAAATATCCTGAGGAAAATTGATTTTGCCCCTTTAGTTCATTTTAACATGTACAGACCACACACAGGGTGTAATTTTGTTGATGTCTTAGCAAAATATTTGTTTTAGACCATGTTTAGTCCAACCAAAGGATCTTACAAACTTAACATAACATTTTATCAGTATGAATATTATTTTATGAAGATCTCTGTCTCTATTACAATCTCTTACTCGGTCATTTCTGATCGTTAGCTGTGAGTCTCAGACTCTGGTATCACATCTAATGGAGCATGAAAGCACCCCCTATGACATCACACAATTAACACGATCGATTTATTTAATTGTTAAAGCACTTTACAACATATTCAAGTTAACATTTTAACTTGTTTGGTAATTCATGAGAGTTTATCATGTTTGTAAACATGGTTGATTAAGCTCATTCTTTCAATTATTTTTATTTGCCCCGGGTGCCTTGATTTCCCGTTACTATGGCAACCATTTCTTATTTAATATTTCTGTTAAACTAAATGTTTTTTTGCTGAATTAATAAGACATTCTATGCTACACATTCTGTGAAAATTTCATAAGTTTATATTGAAAAATAAAGAAATTAGAAAGGTAGTATGAGAACTTTATGATCAACCCTCGTATATCAACAAAACAAGGTTATATATGAATGAACTCTTAAACAGTCACTTAAAATTCAGGCAGAATAAATGAATGGAACAAGCATTCAAGTCACCAACTACTTCAATGCAATTATCCCTAAAAGCTATCAAATATAAAACGAAGTGGGGCTTATAATTTAATAGTTGGATATCATCAACAAAACATGCTTTTCTATAAGTACTTTGAGCAATGTACCTTTTGTGCTGAGCGGATCTCCTGCTTTGTCCTTCTTGCCATGGGACTGTTGGGGATGAGTGGTTTAGAAGGGGTCTTAAACCCAGTGGGAACTATCCTTTGAAGGAACAGCCCATCATTTAGCTCTGGGAAGCCATTATAGCTGAAATGGTGAAATAGATTAGTTGGGGTCTTTATCCAGGGTGGGCAATCCTTTGAAGGAACAGCCCATCATTTAACTCTAAGATTAGAAGGGATTTATACTCAGAGGTAGCATTTTTCAATATCTATGAATAATGCTAACCAGATGTACCAAATAATGATGTGCCGAATTATGACATCAAATGATTTTCAAGACTATTGATCTTTGTTATTTCAAAAAGCATTCAGTTTCTTATTTCAACCATCAACACATGTATAACTAAAGATGGAGGGAAGGCACGTACCTATATTTAACCCCCTCTGCTAGTCCCGTTGGCTCAGGGGGTAAGATGAAGACAGTGCGGTCCTGTCGCAATGACTCATCCAGTTCTATCAACTTGGGCTCATCTCTGTTCTCATCCACCTGGAGCAGCATTTAATGGAACATTTATTAATGCATACATAGTAGTGATATGACCAATATTAACCACATTTGGTTATGGAAAAGATGATCAGATCAAAAACATATAACATTAGCACCATAACTTTTATAAAGTGGTACTTCTACAAAAGTAGATGAGAATCATACAAAATAGCATATTATTTATAAGTGGTAAGATAGATTTATTAGAAAATTTATGAAATTAAAGACAATTCAACAGATGAGAAAGTTGCTGAAACTAAGAACCACACAATATATGAAAAAATTCTCCATAAAATCTTCAACAGTCTGAATTGTTACAAACCTTCTCTGCGCATTCATCAAAGAATGCCAGACTTGCATCATTGTCCGAAACGAAAGATCTGTCTTCAATGAAGCGTATAAAAGTCTGTGTCTTCATAATACTTGTGAAGAACCTGTGGTTTGCCTTCTCTCGACTTTTCAAGAAATCTGCAAAGTTTAAAATATTACTTGAATCAGTAATCAGAATGTAAGTCCACATTGATGAGAGTGGATTACAGCGCATTTGTGTCCTAATGATTTTGAATAAACCAAGGAACCAGTTTCAGTTTTGTATCTTAAATCATCAAACATTATCAGAACTTGGTATAAATCAGTTTCATTCGGTGAGTTTCCATCCCTATCTTTATTGAGTTGGACATTCAAAAATCAGCCCTTTCAATCATCAACACATGCCAATTATGATAAACTATTGTAAGAACATATATGTATTTACTTTGCATGTCAAAGAGTCTGCTCGCATCTGTGGTTCCTACAGTTGGAGCCGCAGTTATTGGCAATAGATGGTGCTTATATCCTTTCAGAACACTCGCCATAAATCGAAGGAACGCTTCCTGTACGGCAGTCTCCATAATAATCTGGAAATAATTCAATTTATTTCATTTACATTTAATTTAACAATTTTCTATACAATACAGGAAACTGACACCCACATGATATGAGTACGCCGTAACATTTTAAGCAACATATAAAAGGCATTGCATATCATTTCCTTACCTCTTTCCTTTTCCTTTTGAAATCATGGTCCACTGACCCCATGTTCATATCCAGTGCAACTTCATCTGGAGTTGCAGGTGCAGATTCACATACAATATCAAACAGTCGCTCTAGAGTGTTACGGAGAACCTTGGCTGGCTTTCTTGGTAGCATCTTATAATTGATGGACTTCCGTTCCTCTGGTCTACAAGTAAATAATAGTAATAACATTTACAAGCTAGAGGGTGCCAGAGGGTGTCATAAATAAACACTGGCTCATTGGATAAAATTCAAACATTTTACATAGAAAAAGCTGGGTTGCCCAAAATTCGATTGTGAGTGTATTACCTTAATATAAAGTCCTAATAAACTACACTTGTTGTATGTAGCCATATAATTGGTCATGCATTGTCAGGATATAAGATAGAATGAAAACATATCTTCCATGACGGGAATTCCTAAGAAACATTGAAACTGTCTTACTGTGAGATTGTCTGTGTGTCAAGGTCGATACATGTGACATCAGGGGGCGGGTCGTAGAGGTCAAAATACCTGGAGTCCACACCTGAAATTTAAACAAACAAATTATCAATTTATTTATTATCAATTTTAACTTTTGTATTAGAACATATTCTGGAGTTAATGTAATATTGATCTTCACTGGAAGAGGATATTTAGGTATACAATGTATCTGAACCACTTGATTTTTAAAGTACATGTACAGAGTAATCATGTTCTGCACTTACCCACTATAAAAGGACAGGGTGCATTAAGGTGGACTTACCCACTATAAAAGGACAGGGTGCATTAAGCACACCAGACATCCCCAGAGGACACAGGGGGATGTAAGGGCACTGCCACTTTAGAGGAAAGATCATCTGAAAATATAACATGGCAATTAATTTAGAACACTTGAACATATTTTTTAAAAACCGAACAATCTGATGAATCAAACAAATGTGGTGTAATTTGAAGGTTAATTGTTTCAGATCCAATAACTAGGGTTCACCACAGATGTAGAAACTCCAAGCAGATAAAAACATGAAAATATCCATAAAATAGACGAAACTAATTGAGATGGGGATAGTTATTTCCCAGGGATCATAATATACAACATCACATACAAGTTCATAATGTACCAACTACCCATTACATTTGATAAGAGTGAGCAGGACAAGCTCTATTATATAGCTTCCTTCAACAAATGCATTATTTTAATGGACTAATAATGCTCAGTGATTATATGAAAAAGCAAAGGTGTTAATACAGACTCCCCAGACTGTTTTTTACTTTATTTCTTAATGCAGTATCTGTTTTATATCACCAGTTAATACTCACTGTAATGACTGCCTCAGTGACACTGGTTAATACTGCAGGGCGTAAAGAATGAAGTAATAGCTTGTGCTCCATTAGAGCAAATAACAACACGTTCATTGAATCCTCTGGCCCAAGATTCTTCAGTAACGTTACAAATGAAGCACCGCTAAAAATATAAAGGAAAACATAGAAAACGAAATGTTTCAAACTTATGTAGTATTTTTAGCATTTTGGATTCTAGAATTTTATATTCATTAGAAAAACAAGTTTAATATTTCAAAACTTTTATTTTTTTACTTTATTTTTTTACACTATTATACATCAATTTAAGATTTACCAATAACTTATACATTCTTTTGAATTTTTCTCACAATTTTAGAAAAAAATGAGCAAGAATATGATTTTTTTTACTTTTTATTATTATTTCCTTAGGGGAGGCATCAAAAGTTCGATGTTGGATAGAAAACTAAATAAATCTAGTAAGGGGGGGAGGGGGTTCAAACCCATTTCAGTTTGCTATCTGACAAATTTCAACATTTCAATTTTTTGGCAATTTTGACTCAGAATGCCTTGGAATGGCTTAAAAATAAAGATTTTACCAGATGCTTTCTTCGTCAAGATCATTCCAATGGATTCTATTCTATCAATAGTTGTTTGAAAGCCGCAAACTACGATAGGAATGAACAAAAAACTAGATCCTGTTCAGCAGTAATTTTTCAAATTCTCAAACCGGAAGTCACTCATGATCAACTTTCATGTTTTTGGGGGGAGGGGGGGGGGGGTCAGAGTAAAAACTAGATTTATTTAGTTTCTGATCCGACATTGAACTTTTGATGCCTCCCCTTATTTGTGTATTTTGAGTATATGATTTACCTGTGTGGCAAGGGAGAGTCCTCAGGCATGGACAAAGATAAGGCCTCTTGGCGCAATTGAACCAGAATCCTTGGTCTTTGGGGGGAGGGGAATGGAACCTCATGCATAAAGTGAGATATATGCCTGAAACATAGGATGGCATAAATAACAGAAGCAGATATATGGATTAACATCCTATTTTAATTGCTTTAAATGGGAGGCAGGATTAAATGCCAAGAAAACAAATTTCACCTTTTCAAAATCTTAACATCTAGATACTGATCCTTAATAGCTATAATTATGTTGAGATAATTTTGAAGGCTCATTAAATGTACGGTAAGTGTTGTCCGATTGAACTCTATCCATTGGCTATTAACGTATTTGTAAAAATATGCTTTTCTTTAGTGACTGCTGACAAGTATACTTGTCCAAAACGTGTTATTGGAAAATTTCAGACAACAAGAACAGGTTTAGATACAGTGCAATAGTTGAACTAAAAATTTCAAAATTTTTTGAAAATAAATCCTACCTTTCTATAGGGACATCATGTGGTCCTGATATTGATATCCTATATAAGTACGACAAGAACTTTTTAAAGGCATCAAAAAATGGCCACCTTGACAGCAAACATATGGATTTATTAGAATGGACAGTCTTTGGGATTTTATTGTATGGATTTCCTGTTGGGCCCTCTTTTAAGGACAGAGCCTCTTTCTGGGAGTCGTTTAGTTTATCTTCTGGATATTCCTCATAGAATGTGACGGCTGCCCCATATACCTGAAAACATATCATGATGCTCATTATGGAATGTACTTCTCTCAAAGAATACATTTCTCAAACGTTTAGGAATTTTTTGTCATGATACCACAATTTCCATGGTAACAATGGATGTGAACTTTTGGCGAAACAGACTCCTGGATGTAACATGCAATTTATGTATTCTTATCTGACATATGAGATCTATATCCCATAATTGGAATGATTTTATCTATTGTTGTAACCCTAAAGATGAGGCTTAGGAGTTCTAAATATAGGAAAGTAATCTAGAGACATTTCTCTCGGCTCAGGATTAAAATGGTTAGCACATGATAACATGAATTGATACAATATGTCTTACAATGTTAAAAAGAAACAAAATGATACTATTGGAATTGGTGTTATGAATAAAACTCTTTAAACGATACATAAAGTGACATCTATCATGAATTATACAAACCTGTTCTCTGGTTTCATCCGTCAGTACAAAAGTGGAAAATACGGGTAAAGGGTGTTGTGCCGTTGAGGACCAGCTTTCTATAGTAGTCCCCATTGGTAAACAGAACATTGAGACCTGGTCTGGTAGAGGGAAGTCAGGGTAGTTGAGCTCTGGATACCTGTTTAATATGGCTGAAATATAAAGTTAGACTTTGTTTCAATTTAATTGTAATTAAATTTGAAATTTTCCATTTAAAAAGAACCCTGGAGAATAATGAATTGTGCTATGGGTATAATTCACAATTTGATTTTATACATTATAAGTAGGGGTGAGACGAGTCGGAAAAATCCGATTCGAGTCGAATCCGATTCGAGTCAGAAAATGACGATTCGAGTTTCGAATCCGTTTCGAGTCGCGAAAGTGCGAACAACATCGCTTTTGACCGTTCGTATTTTTAATGCATCAATGGTGGAAAGCCGGAAATATAAACAAACACAATTCGTCGTAAGTTTATTCTGATTTTATTACATATATTCTTTCATTTATGTGTACATACAATATAATAATTTAATACAAGCATATCCAAGTCATTGAAACTTATATATTCAACGCAATATCAAGTAAAAACATGCATATTGACAGTATTTTTCTGAATTTTTTTATTTTTTCGAATTTTTTTCTCAACTCGAAAATGATTCGATTCATCAACTTCGACTCGATTCGACTCGACTCGAAGCCCCAAACCCGCGAGTCCTCGACTCATCGGGTTGTCGTCTCACCCCTAATTATAAGCCACGGGTTCTCATGTTTTTATTAAACCTAATTTTACTGAAGTTTATATTCCTTCACAAAAACAATTACATCCACATCTAACCCAGCCTAGTACCAGCAATCTGCATTTGCTCAGCATTTAAACTACATATAGTTTATAAATATGAAATTTCATATAACGTACTTAATAGAAAAATATATATATTATGGTCATTTAGATGTAATATAATATCATGTACCTGGCTGGTATGCTAGAGTATTTGCCTTGGCCATTGACTTCTTATAGCAGAGATAAACATCAGATCCTACCATGGCCTTGTTCAGGTTCTTGCCTATCTGGCAGTAGGCATGAGGGGGCGTTTCACCCTATAAGAAACAATGGATTGTGGATTCAATGGTTTAGGATAGACAGAGGACTTCAGTGTATATTTATATTTCCAATAACTACTAGGGCCCACTGGATAATATTAATATGTCAAATATATAATGCTTAATATTGCTCCTATCATATCTGATTTAGAAGGTATCAGAACAAATACATAATTTGATGAATGACAACATGTTTCATTTCTAAACTAACTCTACCTTGTTGGCGAGGATGACGCATATATCTGTGACTGCAAGGGTATCACTTGCGGCAGTCTCACCAGCACGTCTGAATGTAATATAGATCCTATTGCTGGTACTATTGTTAACATTGGCAGGTCTCCCACCTGGAGTTACATGTATAACTTCACACCCTGACATCACACGCTCCTTGCCCTCATATAGAACCCTAAAAAAAATATTTTTAAGACAGTGCATTATCTCCCTGAAGTGCTTAAATCACAGGGCTCAATATATTGTAGATGGTTTAAGCATGATTGCATTGTATCAAGACCTTGAATGAGGGTGGTAGCCTGAATTTAATGTCTATTTGTCAAAAACTTTTTTATTCAATATTAACCTTTAGCGTGCTGCCGGCGGACTCGTCCGCCGAGACTAAAATGTCTCTCACAACTGCCGGCGGACCCGTACGCCCGATTTCAAACTTTTAAAAACTTTACTTTTTCGCGCCATTCGTATTGTCCAATTAGATTGCCCGATTTATTCAGTGCCTAACATGACTTCCTGTTGACCTAGAAATGCGATATTTCGAAAAATAATTCTCAATTCAACAATTTAAACAGTGTTTAAGTCGTTTTTAGTGAACGAATCGTACAAAATGGTGGACAAATACGATCACAACGAAAATGTGGAGGAAATGGATTACGATTTCGAGCTCTTTAGGCTCTTGGAAGCCGATAACGGTCATCGAAAATAGAAGCTAGAATATTTTCTGAATTGAAAAATTGAACATTTGATCGCTGCAAATTCAGATTTGGATTCTGACCAGACGAAGAGGCGGAGCGGCGGATTCCGGAGGAGTATTCATGGTATATTTATGCCCAGTCGTGTTAATGTACGAAAAAATTCATGAGAACATTTTTTTCATGAGCCAGGCCACTGTGTCTTCCCTTTGTGAAAATTTTATCCAGATTCATTCAGTAGTTATTGAGATATTAATTATTTAGTTCAGGCATATCATTTTTTGCACTCTTTGAAAAATAAGCCAGTTGCGTGGGATATATTTGCTGAAATAAGGCAGCATGGTAAAGGTTAATAACAAGAAAATTTATCAAAAATGTAAGTTCTATTAGAACTTAAATTATAACAAGAATGATGTGAATTCTTCACTTGCAAAATATGGACTCAAAAACATTTTACAAGGCAAAGAATACATTTTATTATGGTAATAGTAAATCTCACCATGGGCGAGAAGGTTAAGATGATAAAATGTCTATTAACATCATCCCAATTGGCATTAACCCAGTTTTGTTCTTTAAGTGCTGCATATATAAATTCAATTCACCAAGAAATAAACTTATAGAGAGTTCTTTATAAAATGGCAAACTCATTTCCAAGTTTTAAGTTACATATTCCTATAGTTTTTTAAAAGAGATCCTCATCTACACGAGGAGTTTGAGAAAATCCGTTGATCTAGACTTAACCAATCATAGAGGGGTCAATCAAAATTCAGCAAGCAGTCATTAAGCATTGGGCCATTTTTTCCCTGAGCATGTATCCCTATATATGTAATAAATAGGCTACCCCTCCCCAGCTCTTACTAAAAGTCTCCCAAACGTATCACAAGAACCTGTAACGAGTACCAAATAAATAGATAAAGAACTTCTAAGACCAAGTGCTGCTTGAAGAATATCTAAAAGGCAATAAATAAACTTACTTAGAAGTGCAATTTTAATTAAATCATAGTCCAGGAATATCATAGCAATTTTATTCAAGTAGAGAGAGCAACATTGTAGGATCCCCATAACCCTCTCAAGCATTAGATAACTCTGATAATCAGTCCCTTTAATAACTCTAATAACTCTGATGATCAGTCCCTTTAATTAACTCTTAGATTCTGATCAATTCCATTGACTTGTATTCAACGTATGCCTTCAGGCATTATTATGGAATTCTACCATTTTTGAATAGACTCTGCCAAGCAGGCCTTTGTAATTCAAACTGGAGGTGTATTGATTGAGTGGTAAGAGAGATGTTTATCTAAACAAATGAACTTAATTGACTCAGTTTTCTATAAACTGGAGGCCACTTCTCAAAAATATGACTTTTTACAGTGGCTAAGGTGTTCTTTTACACTTTTTACAGCTACATGTACAGTAAAACCTTTATATATCCGCCTTTCTAATCAAAATACCTTTTAGAAAGAACATTTTTTCAATCCCATTTTTCAATCTGCAATAGATCAGCATTGCCAAAAAACATAATTATGAACACCTGAACGATTCTAGTGGTGTTCGGGTATGAATTTTAAGAGCACAGTTCGATTTTCATTGAGATGATAAACATTTCATTTACATGTACAAGTATAAACTTGGGTTGACATTCTTCCTTGAAGGAACTCTATGGGCAAAAATATGGAGGGAGGGTCAAATACTTCCAGGTCAATTTCTTTCTTTATTATAGGAGCAATACATGTAACTTGGGATTTGCGTTTCAACATATATTAAATCATTCAATTATTTATTGAAATATCACAAAGATGTAACCAATACAATTGTAATATTAGAATTGCTTTGAGGAAATATGTGATTACTGCAATGATATGTACTAATAGGAATATAACTTGAGGTCTAATTCAAGTACTTGCCAATTTGGTTTACATTCAATTATGGTAGCCACAGCCCTTACAAAAAACAACATCTTACACTTATTTGTGACTTAAATATTTCATAGTTTAACAATGAAATAAAATAGCTATTACCCTGTATTTATGCCTTACATTGAATTATTGTACATAATTCATTATCTATATGTTCAAGTATTTCAATATTTCATACTTTTCATGATGAATCTCAAATTTTGTATGGTAATGTTCACTCTTGGATGGTACTGGTATAAGGCCCATTGAGTGTCCCTGATGCCCCCATCTTATAACATATGCATTGGGGAATTTATAGGGGGAAGATGCAGATTTGATACAAAATTAACTAACTTTAAAATAGTACCTTAGTCCAAGATATTTCATTCATTTTCATTTCCAAGAATGCAAAAAAGAACTCAATATGTTATTAAATAAAATATTAAATCATAAAAAACATCAATATTGTAAAGATGCTTATATACAAGACTACACTTTCATCATCCAATCAACTTTCAGATTTTTCTAAGAGATAAACTGATCATAAGTATGATTGAGTTGAATTGGGAGGTAAAAAACTTGCCTCTGGTAAAAAAGTTATTTCATCTATTACATGTACATCAGATAGGGACAATAGCCAATTCAGTCATTTCATTTTAATTGTATTTAACAAGGCCATAATTATGAATTTTTTTTAATTGTAGTATGATTAATTTTGAGCCACATTAAAAAGTAACTTTGCCAGTACACACTGTGGCTAGTATATGGAGAGCACAAACTTGAACATGTTTCCGAGACCTAGGGGTTTAGCATTATTCAAAATACTTATTGCTTCATTAACACTTATAATACTTCTCACACAAATTGGGAAAAAGACAACACACAAATCGACAAAAGCAAAACCCATAAACATACAAGGAATATTAAGAACAAAGAATGGTAACATTGTTGATGAACAAGGAAAGAATGTCTCAATATGTTGGAACGTGACAAGAAATGGGAAATTCATTCAGCAAAATGATACACAGTTCGCTCCAAGATTAGTTTCTCGGATATCTAACGCAACTAAACCATGGCTGTATTTGTATTCCGGATATTATGATGACCGTGAGACTGTTAAGAATGGATCAGTTGTAAGAGTTACAGGGATGATTCAGAGAAACCGTATCAAAGATATTAAAGATAAATACTATTGTTATTTATGGTACCCGAGTTCTAGTTATCCCGTTACTGTAAAAGCGAAAGGCAGGATTCTTTGGACCTATGATGCCCCATTTATGAGCGCCATCTTTACCTGTCCAGTGCCATCTAGTCATAAAAACCTTCCAACTGATGTCACGATATCTGACGAAAAATGTCAAAATATTACGAATATGATTTCTATTAGGCCCGAATTGATTTCGAAAAAGACGGGAAATGTAGGAATTTGCTGTAAAGTAATTTATGGATCACCTGATCCTGTAAGAATCGTGGAATGGGTTGAATTGAATCTGTTGATAGGAGCTGAGCATATCTACATGTACAACTCATCACTGAAAGGAAAAGTAAACACTGTATTGGATTATTATCAAGAACTTGGAGTGATGACAGTCTACAAACATGATTTCCCAAATAAAATGAACAAAGAAGCATTGAGGAAACCATTCCCATTTCAGGGATTTCTAGCCAATTATAATGGCTACAACCAGAACTGGGAACTGGAAGTGATGTCACTGACTGACTGTCCCTATGTTGCTAAGGAACGATTCTTGGTCACAGTGGACATTGATGAAATTCTCTGGCCAAACAAACATGGAAATTACAAAGATCTGACAGAGCACCTTCACAATCAAACAAAACCAAGAGGGGCAGCGTCATATACATTTTGGACGGGGAACTTTGTGGATGAATTCAAAGCAGACACTAAACCTTTCTACCCTAAATACCTTCACATGCTGAGATATAACAAGCGAACAAAGATTGATTGGGAAAGTCCAAAAAGTATCATTGATTCTAAATACGCAGTTGGGACAGGACATCATGTTGCATTGATGAAAACACAAGATGCCATTCAAAAGTTTGAAATATCTGACGGAAAGGTTGGTTATAACCGACACTATAGGGAACATTGTAGGTTAGTCGGGGCTCCCAATAAATGCAAGAATCTCATGGCTAATCCCCAAAATGACACCACTCTTGACAAATTCAAAGATAAACTTGTTGAACGAGTCTTCCCAGTTTTGAAACAATTCCACTTGTTGTAAATCAGAATTGAAAATGGAAATACATCAAAGTCTTGTTCCAGGCTCTTTTGCAGACAATGTCAAAGTGTATTTCTAATAATCAATAAAAGTGTACTAATAGAATTGCCAAGGTTAATCAATTAACATTAGGGGCAATTTCAAGCTCATAACACCCCTTACATACCTTATTCCTAAAGGAGATGATGAAGATATAGATGGGGAGGGGTGAACAAAGCATAGAAGTAAAACTACTATATATATATATATATATATTCATCAATTTGAAATATTACAAACGTTTATGTAATTATATAGAGACAATAAATCAATTTGATGTCACTATTATCAAGGTTTTTGTTAATTTCTCCTGCTGCCCTATGTGGGGAGGAACAAGATTTGGGCATAAAATCTTTGGGGGGGAGGGTCACTCTGCCTTCATCTTCTATCAGACCTTTCATTTAAATGTGGCAGCAGGTGAATTTGCACCATTTAAGAGATGGTCTTGTAAATCAGAAATCTACCTACCCTATATCTATCAGAGGTGGTTTATCCCGTCCTCTCCTGTAACACAGATATACTTCTGGGCTCCGTATACTCCCATGGTTTAAATCTGCAGGAAACCCAAGGGGTGTAAGCTCAACACATTTGAACCCTTTAGGAGGCTTTTCCCCAGCATTTCGTATAATCACTGCAACATCAACTATGGGGTCTTGTTTGTGGGTGGACTTGATAGCAGTGTCGTTGTTGTATTCTTCAAGTGGGACGGGATTATCTGGGAGACCCGCCACCACAAAATACTCTGCCACCCTTTTGTCATCCATCTTTAAATTATCTGAAAATGCAAATGACAATTTTTATATTCATGTTCTCATAAACAATATTTGTCTTATATTAAATCCAGAGATCCAGTATACTAGGTTAAAACATGTCTGCATTAAGAGGAAATAGTTGCAATTAGTAATGAGGTTAATGTTGATATAAATGTTAATATCATGTACTGTAAATTAAATCTAGTAAACTTTAATATCTATTATCTATTACAAACTCAATCATAACCATATCATTAATGCATTTATAAATCTCTACTGTGTACAAAATGTCAACTTAGTATCTGTACATTCAGAAAATTTAGAATCAATTTTCTTACTGTATGACAAGATAATTAGATTTAGTTTACATCAATGTTATTTTAATCTTATTAAACTTTCAAATACCAATTATTGTATCTATAAATAATACTACATGTACGAAATAAATGGATATAAAAATATTTCATGTTGATACTGATTTACTGGTAGTTATGCACTGACATATAGTATTTTTAGAAACATACAATAGAATCTGTCTAATCCAAAAGACAACTTTGACTGGCCAAAAATGTTCAGATTAGCAGGTGTTCACATTTCAAGATTTCAAAACCATTTAAGTCAATTAGAGATAACATATTTGGCCCAAAAAAGTGTTCACATTGAGAAGTGTTCAAATTAAAGAGGTGTTCGGGAATAAGATTTCACAAAATGCAGCCTGGTCTGCTTTAAATTAATACTTAGACAAGCTTCTGTTATTCCTTCCTACATCTTCGACAAACAGTTCAAAGTCCATAAGCCCCTCGTAACTCATTTACACGAATCTCGTTAACCATTATTATTCACCAATTTCTAATTTCCCCGAAATTATTTGAGAGACAGAATTCTAAATAATATTAACTAAATTGTCCAAAGAGTTATCTAAAAGTTTCTCAAGATTATATCTATTTGAAGAAGCAGCGCTTGTTAAGTTTTTTTTCAAAATTAGAAAGTAGAAAATATTCTCCGATAAGACATGATGTATAATCAAGTCAATCCTAAACATCAGCATTGAGTTCATTACTCTCTATTTGACATACTCCAATGATAACCAATCAAAAATACCTGTAAAAAGAGGCACACCTTCGATTCATTTACTGTACATGTATATAGACACTCGTACTTCGCAAAAAAACAGGAAAACATCACTCAACTAATATTACTCTTACTTAGACATAATCAGAGATTATGTGATCTTAACAGTGCTCCGACGTTATAGAAAATGACATGCTGATCTTTTTACGATGAGATCTATGTGACTGCATGTACGTATTAAAATGCCTCTTTATATACACAAATATAATCCACATTAAAATCTGGAAAATATTGACAACTTCATTCATTAAAGGAAATTACGATCATGAAATACTTAAAATTCTCATCACGCAGTTCGACCTTAATCTCGTGATATTTAGACACTTCAAAAAGAAGCAATTTTGCAATATATCATTCAACAGAACACATTTCTATTCAAACCTATTTATTGTAATAAATGACTTGTTTCCTACCTTAGACATATATCTCACTTGATTGTGAATATATCTTAACCCTTACTAAAGAAGAATGTCATTCAGAAAGTCTAACGTCATGTCATTGCGGATGTATTCACAAAAGGATGGGGATAAATCCCTAGTAATACTGACCAAGCATGGTTTAAACCTATCTAATAAAATAACAATGACATCAAGAAACATGCCAAAAACCACAAAACTTGGAAAAACACATTTCAATTGAAGTATTTCAAGAGTATGGCTATTAGCAGAACAGATTAATCAGACAGGATAACATCCAAAAGGATGAGATAAAGCACAAAATAAAATGTATAGTACACATACATATCCTGTTAAAATCATAAGTGAATTTTTTTTCAAAAATCTAAAAAATTAAAAAAAATTGTTTCAATTTCAGTCTGTAGGGTTCATTCCCCAGAATGTCTCTATTTAAGATACCTAAAAGCTATAAGTACTCTGCCAGTAAGATTGAAATTGTTAAATGGTATATCAACTGCAACATCGCAATCTCCATCTCAAGAGGACTACATCAATCGGAATAAGAAAACAGGCTGCCACATAGCAAATCAAAAGCCTAAAATCTAAAGTTGATTATAATAATATATTGTTAGATCTGGCTCCAAAATGAAAGAGGTTGTATTGATTATGGCATTAAGTAACCATCTTAGTAATGTCTACTGAGAACCAAGTGAGGATAACATCACCTATCTTTCAAGGTTGGGATTCACTGCCAAACACAGCAGCAATGTGAAGAAGTGAAATACCCTTGGGCCGAGGATGAACATCAATTTAATACAATTCAGAATACCCTAGGGCTACCAGTTGAGCTTGGTCATTAACCTCTGAGAAAGAGTGATAAATTTAGCTTGGTATTCAACCAATCAGATACAATCAGAGAGTCTCACAAACCCATGCTAATATATAATAATATATCTGTATATCAGGCCTGTCAACTGTCCCGCAATTTGCGTATTTGTCACGCATTTGCTGAAGAATTTGAAGTCACGCCAGTTATTTTTGCGTGACAGAAAATGTCACGCAAATATGCATTTTACCTGGAAATTGTCAAGCAAAAATATTTCTGTAGAAAAATTGCTAAAAAAGATCGTCTACACAGCAAAAATACGAACGCCGGAAAAAAATGTACGCATTTTGTTCGGACTTTTCACGCGAATTACGTATATGTCACGCATTCCGTTCGAAATTTTTCGTACCTCCCCCCCGTTGACGGATGTTTGAAATGCGAGCGTAACGAGCGCGAAAAATTTGAGGTGTTCAAAATTTGGCAAGATGTAATAAAATTTAAACCAAGGTGTTCAAAATTTGGATCAAGGTGTCCAGATTTGGACCAAGGTGTCCACATTTTGAGGGGAGGTGTTCAACATTTCCAAGTCACTCATGTTAGGTGTTCCCAAGTTGACAGGCCTGGTATATGGACAAATGGATTTCTGTCATTCATAATATCACAAATGACAAACAACTTTTGGGGATCATAAGTTAATGATAAAGCATGTAATGAAATCATGCTAAGGGTTTGAAGAAAAAATTCAGTCTACCCCAGTGGGGATGGAACCCACCACCCCTGGATGAATGACTCAATATGTAAAGAAGAACATTGGTTATATAAGAGTAAGTCATACTTGATCCCTCTAACAAAGGGAGAAGGGTCATTGTAACCACATATCTCAACTGAAACTACAATAGAAATACTATAAAAGAACAATATAAAGAATGACATTCTACAGGCACTAAAAACACAGTTACAGAACTCAATTATACACAGATTTAAAAAATAAAAAATAAATGCACAGGAGTTTCATTAGCAGCAGGCAACAGGCAATTTTCACCGGTTGTTTTTCACAAAATTGCCTTTTGATTTTAGGGACTTTTCAACTCTTCTAAGTGAAATTTATGACTTCCATTAATTTTGCCTGTTGTTTTCATCTATTAGCCTGTTGTGAGAAATTCTAGTCAAACCCCTGCACACGTATCAGAAACAGACTTAAAAAGAAGCATTTACTGATTTTTTTTAAAGGACATATCAATTAACTTCTCACTTCAGTCAGGCTTCCATCAGTCTGAATTGATGCTAGATAGTAAAAGATCATGGTATTAACATTTATTCCATCTCCAATCCTTTACTAACCCCAGGAGGAAAATACTGAAGAGTTCAATGTTATAGCATTCAAAATAGAGTAGAAGAAAACTTGAAATTGATGAATGCATTGACCTGCCATGGAGTCATCATTAGTAGCTGACTGTATGAATCTGAGAAAGTCTTATCAATAAAACTGTAAATTGATATTAAGAGGAAAAGCAAGATGGGAAATAATTTTCAAGAATGGCAATCACCATCAAAAGTGAGTTACGTTCATTCTGTAAAAAGCACAGAGATTTCATTATTTTTATGGCTGTAGCTAACATTCAGTTGGAATCTTCAATCTCTAATAATCCAAAGCTTGAATAATTGAGCTCCAAGACCCAAGGACCTAAACCTTCCGTAATTCTCTATGCAGAACATAGCAAAATAACACAATGTAGAGAAATGTGTCCCAGAGCAGTTTGCCTAGATATAAATAACATAATAATGATAAATAACCTTGAGCATATTTATTCAAATAGTGCTTTTTTCCATGTCAGCCTTTGTTCAATATGCTATTCATCTATTTTATGTGGTATGTACTTAGAACCTTCATTCCAATACCCAGAACCAATCATCTAGCTACTATATGATATTTTAACAACAAAACACTTGTTAGCAAAATTACTGACTCTTAAAGCAAAAACAATGGCTATTTGAGTAAAACACAGCACAAAAATACCTCAAATTGATTCATAATGACAAAGTCATATTTTCTTAAGATTCTACGGTAGATTTGAATATGGATGATATCACAGATCTAGCCTCTTATAATGAACCCTGGCATCGCATCTCTTAGCCCTGATTTGCCAGGGTATTATGGCTCAGGGTATTATGGATTGGATTTTTTGATTCACAAGTCCAGATTTGATTTTACCAGAATTTTTATGACAGACAGATGCACATGTGCATGAAGTCATCAGCGCAGGACAACAACAATATCACTCTTTCAAAGTGTGATAAAAATCCTGTGAAGAGTCTGGAGAGTTAGGTTACAAACTCAACATAAATGATTGCAGGCTGTACAAAAACAATGTTACATGGTGTTTATACCTTTAACAGGTTGCAGTAGTTAACAAAATAGGCCAAACAAAGGTCATATTCAACATATGGTGAATCTGAGTTGGAGAAATGCGCATTTACATCTGATTCATTGCTTTACAGATATATACAACTAGGAAGCAATATATCCTCAAGAGTTTAGGAAGATTGCCTTTCAAACCATTACCTTATTCTTTATTTTTCAAAATTAGCACCCCAGGGCCCTGGATTAACATATTTTTGGAGAGTTTTATATCAAATTTTATACATTTCCAAGTTTGCCAACTATACAGACCACCTAACTTCCTAGACCTTTGAGGAAAAAACTTTTTCAAAATATCTTTTCTTGAAAAATAAACAACAAAAAATGATGTTTCTGGACATTTCAGATTATGAAATGCCACATAGGACAGTAAATGCCTATGCCAAATTGGTAACTAGGTAAATATATGTAACTTTGCAGGGATTGGACACCCTGCATATAGGGGCTTAAATACAATAACCCAGTTCAAAACTACCAGTTTGTAATTCAAATATGAAACATGTTTTATCACTGCATATATGATTTTCTCACGACAATATGACATATATTATCATCTATTGTGTCATTCAAGTGCAATTGAAGAATATCTAGAAATGATGTTCTCGTAACAGATAGCTCAAGTCCTCTTAGAAAAGGGGCCACCTCAACAGTTCAGGCAAATGTCAATGATGAGAATAACTACAATGACTCAATCGGTTACACGCATGTTTAAAAGCAAGAAAGAAATTAAGCTAGTTGAAGGCTGTGATCTCGCACAATGGTCCTGTTCTTATTTAAATACATATACATGTTAATCAAAGACGTATGTAGTTGTCATAATGTAATATGTCATGAAAATTGCTGCCAGGGGTTTTAAATTTGAATGTCGTCATATTTGATTTGTGCAACATTTACTTCATGGTACAACCTTTCTGCATTGGTTACAACTGAGTTGTACAACATCTACTTCATGGTATAACCTTTCTGCAATGGTTACCACTGAGTTGTATAACATCTACTTCATGGTATAACCTTTCTGCAATGGTTACCACTGAGTTGTACAACATCTACTTCATGGTATAACCTTTCTGCAATGGTTACCACTGAGTTGTACAACATCTACTTCATGGTATAACCTTTCTGCAATGGTTACCACTGAGTTGTACAACATCTACTTCATGGTATAACCTTTCTGCAATGGTTACCACTGAGTTGTACAACATCTACTTCATGGTATAACCTTTCTGCAATGGTTACCACTGAGTTGTACAACATCTACTTCATGGTATAACCTTTCTGCAATGGTTACCACTGAGTTGTACAACATCTACTTCATGGTATAACCTTTCTGCAATGGTTACCACTGAGTTGTACAACATCTACTTCATGGTATAACCTTTCTGCAATGGTTACCACTGAGTTGTACAACATTAACTGAACAATTGATACACCCTGCCTTTCTCCAATGATCACTATTGATTTGTGCAACATTTACTTTGAGGCACAGTTTTATTAATTATTCTTATATATACAAATGAAAATAACTACCTTATTCTCTGTAATTAGCGCCTACTCTCTAACAAATATTGAGGAATTACCAAGTATTAACGAATATATCAGAAAAGAGAGAACCTATTCTAAACTGTCACTTTCTCGCCTTTAACATGACTTTCACACAAAAATGGTGATCTATCATAAAATTAAAAAGATAAGGTATAACTTTACATTGATACCCAAGAGTCTCTAGTAGAAATATGGAAGATAATCGGGGGGGGGGGGGGGGAACAATACCTTCTACTTGAGGGGCTCTGTTGGGGATTTCGTCAACATTGTCTTATAAGAATCTTACAAGATCCTTGCTATATTTTAGTGATCTTTACAGTAATCTCTATAATAACAATACATTTGTAAAAATGCTGCTACTTCGTTTTGATGTTGCAAATAAGGCATTCTTGGCAAGAAAAATTGTCATGCATAAAATAAAATTCCCGGGGATTTTTGACTCATGGGCCCTTATTAGAATGGCCTAAAGAATGTAGAATATGGTATGTGGGAAGTCTTGGTATATACAGACAGAGACTATCAGCTTAACCAAAACAAATGAACTGACTGACTTACTCGAGCTAATCAATACAAGAATTGACTGTCATGTATTTCTACAAATACTCTTGATAAATCTACTTAATGCTCAGTAAACAAGGACAATCGTTTGAAGTTGAGGACGGTTTTTCTGTTGTACTAATCCTGATGTTCTCCATTTATGTAGGAATCATTGGTTGACTCTGATTAGATTGGAATCGCATATTGTCAAAATCAAAACATAATTTTCGATCGCTTTGTACATTTCGCTTTGTAACCTATGGAAGATGAAGAGTGCAAATGAGAATCTGCACCAACTTAAGAATTTTTTTTTTTTTGGGAAGTACATTGATCAGATATCAGAATGAGACATTCTCAAAAATCTTTAATATATATATTGAAATTTAAAACTCCTATGAGGTTCATAAAAATTAATTAATTAGAGGCTCTATACAGAGTATGGAGTTTGTCAAGTTATACCTTTTATTGATTTATATAAAGGTCATTGACTTTTCTCTATTTTAAACCAAGGTAAATACTTTTAGTACTATCCTATAAAGATAAATATTCTCAAGTACATTTAAATGGTATACAACAAGAGAAAAATAAGTAACTTACTAACACATGGACTTATATTTATGAGCTCCATTAATTTTGAATTGTTTTTTCAAGATTTTCTGTATTTCTGACTCTATTATTAGTTTGTCACTAAAATGACATCGACAGTGAAACAATACCTAATTAGCTTGAAGGGAAAGAATGACAAATATTCTTTTCAGGCTAATCTATATGTTACATCATTACATAAGTAGGTTTCAAGTGGGAATAGCTTTGTAGTTAATAGACAAAGATACTTTAACATATCAATAGTCATCACTAAAATGCAATAAAATGAAGCTATAGTTCATTCTCATTGTGATATCCAAAATTCTTTCCTTCTTATCACAAGATGATCTGTAAAATCAGAATGCTTAAAGAGACTGGAGAAGGACCTGCACCCTTACTCCTCCTAAAAATGGGATTTTTTCTGAAAATAGGCCTTTAATCAAATATATTATCAGAAAATTTACTGGAAGTTGATAATTTAGATTCAGTTCATCACTGCATAATAACTGTAAGATTGCCAGCCCCTATTCATACTCTGACAAATGACAACATACCTCCCCTATCTCACCTCCCACTCAAACCATGGGAACTCGCAAGAAGCATAGCTGAACATTGAATAACATACATGAACATACAGTATGTTGAATATTTGGCAATGGGAGCATCATTTGGCAAATATATCTGTCCAAATTATTTTATCTTGGCACCCACGCTATGTTCTATATATATAAGTAGAGTACAGATATACATCCATATGATCATATATGATATGAAGTTAATTTGGTGTCAATTAAGAACACTGCAAATCTATGCCAAGTCAACAAAGAATGACTTCCGGTAACCTGAACATTTTTATTCTGTCCTATTTCATAAATCCTTTGTACCTGAACCCCTTTTTTCCTAAAAACAGATTCAGAGCTGGAAGAGAGATTAGACTTGATGCTTGTTTTACCACTACTTTATTCAAAATTTATAGAATCACAAGAGCAAGGGTTTAAATACATGTACACGTCACATGAAGATACATACATATATGTGAGTCATTTTTGACAACAAAAAATTAATAATATTTCGCTTACCTTTAAATCAAGTATTATCCATAATATCGATGACAATTAGTCTTGTAACAAAGCTGCAATAAATCTGACTCTATTTGTACTCAGGCTGTACTAATATACTGCACTACACATCCAGCTGTATTCCAAATATTGAATAGTCCTAATCAATAGGTATCCTCAATACAATGTATAATCAGTAATCCAATATCATGTATTAAACCAGATGTGTAGTATCCCTCAACATAGCAGGTAGTAGAAACTGTGCTGTAGTTAACTGGAAATCACAGTTCGTAATTTTAGCCAGATTACATAACTCCTGCCAAAAATTAGTGTCAATATTTCAGGTTTCGATTATTTCTGCATACTAATATTGGTTAGTTCTATATATATATACAGAGGGTATCAGGTGTGATATTTCTAATTGTTTTGTTTTTGTGTTTTAACTCCGTTTGACCCAAGATAAAGCTTGCTTTGTTGTTTAATCCTAACTTGAACTGTAGTGTTATTATTCTGCTGCTGCTTGGGAGTTGTGTTGTTGTTCTGTTTTATGATATGGTGACCTCATACAGTCATACATGCCTCTGTTTAACAGCTGAAAATAGAAAGATAACACTTTGACTTGATAAGATCTCACATTTCAAAATACAAGGCCTGGTTTCTCGGACTTTATTACCAGGGCTGATAGTGGGGACCTATAAAACACCCATTACATTTGTTATTTCAATAATTATGGAAGAAAGAGTTTGTAGAATAAAAAATCAACTGATGAAAAAGAGCACAATTTAGACACTGATCTTGAAAGCCTGGCTATAAGTTTGATTCAACTAAAAATTGCCACACTTTGTCTGTGGCTTTAAGTAAAACAAGTTATTAACATGCAAAATATCACCACCTGCCATTTGTTACAGACCTCAACTGCCAAACACCAACCACCAAACACTGTTTACAAAAAGGTTGAAAACTATAACAATATGCCACCACTTCTGGTTTGTTTTAATTTGTACTTTAACAAAGATGCCTATAAGTCAATGTGATTTTCTCACATCTCGTCTACTGTCATCTAACAAAATGTTTACATGTACATGAATTAACATTTACTTATTTATTTTATTGTGAATCATCTTTCTACTGTCCTGTTATTACAACATCCTGGTACAAGACAGTAAAGACAATACAACATAAGTGTTTTTATTCACTTCATGAAATCTTCAGTTAGAGTTCAAATCAGTTCTCTAAATGGTTCATAACACGGCTATGATCTCACTTCTTATCATAACATACAACATTAGATTTTCATCACATAATTGACCTTTCTATCAAGAGAGGAACCTTGCAGCATCTTTTGAAATCCTGTCTTATATATTTTATTCTCTGGAGTTCTGCTCCCACAACAAATCAAGATTTCAAAATTGTTCAAAGCAAAGGGTACAATATGTCCTGAACTGTTCTGTTTTTCAGTTCACTTCTATTTGTAGCATCAACCACTAAAAGTTAGTTCAAAATCATCAATCATAAGCGCCAGGCATCCATTCCTGTTTTTCACTAGGATGGCCTTGAATAGTAGGAATGGTATCCAACTAGCATTTCTATTGCTTTCTCAGTACAGGATACATTCCTTGCTGCATAGTGCAGTATCTAGAACCATCTCCTCTAACAAGGCTACAACCTAAAGCATATTTTTTGAGAAAAAGGAGGTAAAAAACAAACTTATGAGCCTTTACATGTATTGGCAATATTGAGGCTTGTGTAAGTAAGATGAATAGTTAAAAGACCATGAAACCACCTTGCTGGCCTGCAGGAATGATGTACTGTATACTTATTTTTCCCCAGGTTTTCCCAATTATGAACCAATTGCAAATGAAGATAAGCAGATGTACTGGTTGTGTTATCATTCCATGGCAAGTAGGAGGTATCACTCTCCCTTGAAATGTGGCTGGATTATTGCCCTTGATTAGACAACTAATTGAATAACCATCAACACACATACTGCTTGCAGCAAGTGCTACATGGCCAATGGTATTACATCTCACCAGTGTAGGAATGTTATATAAGAGTAATTATTTCTTGAATGATATACAGTATACACACTTTGTAATATTATTGGTGAACCATATATAGGTACACTGGGTAACTGTGTCCCTCTACTGATGGCCCACCAGCTATATTTTAGTCAGTAAGGAGGGAAGAAGTGGCTTGATGCAAGAGTAACTGGAAAAGATAAACCAGAATTTGCAGTCAAGGCTTCGAGAATCAATAGGAAAATAGGGTATGACATTACATGATGTGTTTTTCTATGAAAAAATGAATCAGAATACACAAACTACATGTATACTTTTTGCTACTAGTTTAAACATTCATTTAACAATCAAACTTCCAAAAAGGCTATCAAAGATCCAACTGAGATCATGAAGATCAGTTTAAAAACTGTAATATCATCTTTGAGAGTCAGAGTAGTGTTGCCAGCCAAAAGGGGGTAAGGGCAGGTATAAGGCAAGGATTCAGAGCAGAGTTTTGAGCTGACAATAGTAAAGTCATTACTCCACTCCTTTTCTAAATTCATGTCACAAGAAATCTGATTAAAATTAATTAATAAAAGCATTGCTGAAAAGGAAGATAAATTTCATAATGATTTCTGTAGTTGTGTAAGAGTTCAGATTGAAGCAGAGCACCAAGAATTGAGTTTAAGCGTTATTTACTGACATAACACTTTTTTGAGGCTGTAAGCAGAACTATGTTTACACACTATATCTTCTTAGGGAGGGAATTCCCATTTGTTTGACAAATGTATCAGCAAATAAGGATCCTACGCAGAAAATGATTTCATAATACCTATGTGCCATGCTCTAGCTTGAAAACTGTCATTCATTCATACAATTCTACATCTACAATTCATAACAAAAAGATGATGTTAATCACGAGTCCATCATCTTCTTCCTTGATTAAACATAAGTGACTGCATCACCATACAGAGAAGGAAGTAACAAAGAGGATAATTCAATTGTTAAATGTTGGCTCAGATGTCATTCCCTTTAAGATCTACATTTACTTCCTTTCTATTCTAGACTCTGGACCAGCATTCTGAGGATGAATTGTTCAAATTGCAATCACTGCAGACCTTTACATGGGGATCTTTGTAAAACAACCTTTATACATGAAATAACAGAGTTATGATTCCCATACGAATCAATTATATCTTACAACAATGTGTCAGACTGTCATTGTGAAAAATATAAAAACTTTCTTACTTCAACCTTATGTCTGAAATTCCTCGATGGGGTACCAAAGGCTGCACTTTGATTTTCATAAAAATAGGAGCACACCAACCTCATGAAGTCGGTCAACCAAACCATCTTATTGACATATTCTCCATTAGGTGAACTTATATTGACAGACAGGTTCTTTAAGAATGTCATTTCTAATTTGTCTATTTCAGTTAAAAGATGGAATTCACATTTTACAAATGAATCAATATTTCAAGTCCATTTCATTGAACACATTTTATCCCAAGTGTATTGTTTCATAATCCATCTAATATATCAAAGAGAGTTCAAAGAGAGGCTAACTTCTGGATATATCACAGATTGTAAGATATTCAATTCGAGGATTAAGATTACGTAATTACATTTCCAATTAATTTATTTTTGGATAGAAATGCTTTACTAAGCAAACTGTAAATATCTTTTCTGTGGTATACTTTAACTTGTACAATGGCAAATGCAAAGCCCACAATTCATCTTGTCTTAAGTTTGATACCAACAGTAATCTTGCATCAAACCCCTATTTCTTACTTTACCTCCATAGGTGAGGTATTTGGGAAAGTTGGGTCTTGATACAAGACTACTGAACAATAGTAAGGTCTTACTTCATAAACTGTGACAGAACTAGTGATTGAGGGTGGGAACTGACAATGATAATCAAACAATATCAATTGTAAATTAGCATTGAGTGTGGCTCCCAATTACTTGATCGGCTTACTATAAGCTGTCCTGACACCCTCCCCAAACCCTTATGTTATATACCTTACCCAATCTGGAAGTTAAAAGTAGAGTTAATTATAGGGACCAGAATTTGATGCAAGACTAACACTTGAAAACATTCTAAAAGTTCAACTGGACAATGTCTGGCTGAAATGCTTCACATATTTAACCCTAGTACATACATAAATAGAACTATTTTTGTTATTTCAAAACATTAATAGGCTGTAAATGTCAGTCAAGCAGTGGTTTAGTGAACTTTTACAACATGTATAAGATATTTATGTAAAAATATTTTTTCATGGACAAAACTTCAAACATCTTCATACCACATACATATATCAGGGACGTAGCCAGCAGTCAAGGGGTGTGTGATTGTTTGGGTTTGCATCACGTCACTGCAAGTGAAGTGAGCCTCAAAAATGGGGTACTTGGGTTTACCACTGGAAATTTAAAAAAATCTTACATTGCATATGGTACATTCTAAGCACTTCAAACTATAATTTGTTAATGTTTTTGTCAACAAATTTTACAAAATTGCTTTTTTCTTTTTTTGTGGGGGTGGCGTATGATGGTGCTTCGTAACCCCCTGGCCATTCCGATGTATATTGCATTTATAACACAGGGGCTGACTGTTCTAATTTCACATCACCTCTAAATGTGTGGGGTACAGTATAACAACAGATGTTTTCTAGTTTAACAAAGATTGAGCCTGATTTCTACACATTTTTATGCATTTTTACATGTACATGTACACTGTATGTAAGAACATTGCTAAACTTGTCTGAAGGCTGTATGGAATACTGAAAAATATATTGAATTCGCATGAGCAATTATTTATGGATTTGTTTTTTGCTTATTTTCACATACTCATGTTTTTTTGTGATTTATGCAAGAACCTCAATTTGTGCCAGAAATATAATGTTAAATTCACAATTTTCTAATAATGCGAATATATATGATTTCTCGATGTACATTTATATGAATTTCAAATGTTTTACAAGAGACAGGAACATGTAATAATGAAATCTCTTTGAGCACTTTGGTTTAAAAGCAGAACCATTTACAAATTTTAAACAAATTTTCACCTACTTAATTAGTGAAAACCCCGATCATCATTTCTTTTAACACAAAATGATGTTTTTGTACATCACCTATGAATGTATCATGTCAAATATTTAATATCCAAGACCCCACACATAATGTCAACTTGTCTTAAAACTAAATATCATAATTTGCATGAGGGTCATAGAACTCTATTTTTCCATCAAATTATATGCTAATAATTTATGCAAATAGGGTCTAAACATAGATCTGATGAGTTTTTACTTATATATATTAACATACCAATTTGTACAAAAATCACAAAAACATATAATTTTAAATAAACTATAACAAGAAAAGGGGATATTCAGGATGTCAGATTGTCAGACAGGTAAACACATGCCAGCCTAACAAGCGATTTGTTATTCTGATTCAGTGACTCCTTTATAGATTTACAATACACATACAAAACTGTGCTGTTTATCATTCAACCTGCCTCAAACAATTTTTCTTTTTACACGTATGTAAATATCAAACATGCGTGTGACGTGTAAAGGTAAAATGTAAGGCGGTC